ATTTCATCTGTAATAAATTCTGCACACTGCTTGTCTACAGTACACAGTACTATATTCAAAATTCAAAATGAATTATCACTATACCTACTGTACTTATGCAGTAATATGCAGTAAAAATTTTAGCAATGCCCAAAAGGAGCACCACGGAACATAATACTGTACAGTACACCAATATTAAGACCCTTGAATGTTCAACTCACTTTAATTTGATGTTCTGCACTTCATCTCAAGAGAAAATTTAATCTGTCGTAATCGAAATAACTGCATTGACACACTAATTATGCTTTGAAAAGGGGGACCTTCAAACGCCCACACAATGTTTCAAAAAAATAAATAAATAAATAAATCTTAACCTACCGGGGTATATGTGTTTTCAGCAGGCATAGAGGGTTAAAAGAAAAATAATGAGATTTCTAGATCAATTGCTCATTTCTAAATTACACAGTAGGGGAGAGGTCCTATGTACTGTACTTTAAACCAGTTAGTACAAAATGGAAGAAGAAAACAATAAGCTCCAAGAGTTAGCTATGACTCAAACTGTTACCCGGGAACAATAATACAAAGAATAACCTCACTAACTTTAAATTGTTACGCAATCCAAAGGCATAACAGTCCTCTAGGTAGCAGAAGATGAACGCCCTCACCGGTGCCAAGCACCCATTCAATTGCCGTAAGAGTAACCCCTTAAAGACTGACAGGTCCCTTAAGCAAAGATTGTTGAAAAAATTGGTTTGTCAAATGCATGTACACCAACAACTGCCCTTAAAAGGTTGTCAGCTAACTGATATTTCACTGTCACTCTAAATTCTCTCAATGATGTGTCAACCCTGAGGACTCGCATCCTTTTAGTGCAAACAGGTAAACCACGGTAATGTGGGAATTATTCCCACATTACACTAAGTATAACCTTAGTGGCTCCAAGTTTGGACACCACTGCCCTTACAAAACTGAGGACAAGGCCACCAACCTAGTTTTCTCCTACTCTTTGACTCGCATATGGAGCTGGGAGTTGAACAGAATAGGGGAGAGGAAACCAAACCATATTAGGCCATACAGGAACCACTATGAGACCCCAACAAACTGTCTCAACTTCAAAATTACTTGAAACATACAGAAGATATATAATCCTGCTCCCAAGAATTCTAGTTCATGAATAATACATCCACCTCCACTAAAGCTAATATTGTACCTGTACCAGAAGCTGGCGGTTTCCGAGACTGCATAAAATATCAACTCTTGGACCAAAGGAAGAAGACCGGGAGGAGACTGGATCTAACCTTCACTCAGTAGGCATTACTCCATTCTTGGACAGCATATAAGCCTAACGTTCAGTGTCGTAACAAAATACAAGTGCTGTATGTAGTACACATAGCTTTGAAGGTAGGGTGAACATTTTCCATATCTCCCACACAAGGAGATGAAGAAAAAAAATTTCAATAATGCACTCAACTGAAATTTTACAAATAAAAATGACATTTTTCCCCTGTATCTTGTGCCAAATATATCTTAGAGTCAAGAATGGAGGCAAATATTGGGTTAAAATAAAGATAAATTTGGTGAGAAATGCCTATGTAATGTGGTTGTTGATAATGACCAAATCAGGGATGCTGGGAGAAATTATTAAGAATGTCTGCTGTAATTATGAGACAAGCTGGAAAAATTCACCCTGGATGGTGTCGATGAATTCCGCTACCTGGGCGACATGTTCAGCTAAATCAGTTGCAAGTCAGAAGTGGCTAAAGTAGTTTAAGGTGCTGCTGCCCTTATTCATGACAAGAGGAACCTTCTATTCCTGTAAAGGAAATAAGTATGCAACCAGAGTGAGAAATGTGATATTGCATGGCAGTGAAATAAGGACAATTAAAGAGGATGACTTAAGTAGGCTTGAACAAGCTGAAAGGAAAATGGTAGAATGGAGGTGTGTGTGATAGGAACTCCTGTTTTGAGATAAATGGGTGGCTGGGTACTGAGTGTAAGGGCAAGGTTTTGTGTCCAGATATCATAAGCCAAGATTTTTTGGACATGTGGATAGAATGGAGACCAACTGGGTTAAATAATGCAGGAATTTGAATGTGGAGGCAAGAAAAAGTAGGGGTAGGTCAACAATGACATGGTAAGAGGTAGTAAGAAATTAACTCAAGAGATACCGGTAATAATTTGACGAGAAAAACTACAAGAGACTGTGTAGCATGAAGAACTACCATTAAGGAATCAGGACACAAAAAATTATCATAAAACAGTAATATTAACAATTACTTGATACATACTGTATAAAGTCTATTTTGTATCTCACCTAAGTGCCATAATAGGCTCCAAATTTATTCAGTCATTGAAATGAACTAGACAGAATAAGTACACTTTTTGGGGTAATACTTTAGAATGCTTGTGCAGGTAAACATTCAAGTAGTTTTCTACATAATATAACTTTTTACCACAAGAAAATCTCAGACGATAATGAGGAATTGCACTTTTCGTGTGCCAGTGTCTGTTTTTGCCAGAGGGCTTGTTATACGTAGTACAGTACAGTAAATGTAATAATAGACTACCAAATGACACATCCAGCTGACAGTTTTGGCACTTGATCTCTAGACAAATCCTTCCCAGAAACCAAACAATTCCCAACCTTTCTATACCAAACCTAATATAACCTAAAATACTAAATCAGTACAGTGTGCCTCCATCTTATGATAGGGAGGTTAAATTGGTTCACTTTCACAGGCACTAGAAGTGTTTATATGTATGGAATGCTCACTGGGAAGCATTTTGTGCTTGAAATGTTTATTATGTAAACAAATCAAAATGGAGTTGGCAAGAAATATAGGCAAAAAGGTCACCAAAATAATAAGACTCATGAACACAGCAAACAGATCATTTTATGTCCAATACAGTACACACAAGAGTACCTTCCAGAATATTACCACACAAAAAATGGGAAGAGCAAAACTGCCACCACACAGCTCCAGATAATAAAAACAACATATAGTAGTGGATACAGGTGTGGCAACCCGTATGCCAAAAATCAAACTGGGGTACTATGTATTATTTTAGTTGTCACCCGGGAATCGGTCAGGTTACATAAGGTTAGGTTCGGTCGGTTAGGTTAAGTTAGTTTGGATATATCTAAATACAGGAGCAGCCGAAACTAAAATTTTACCCAAACTGGATATAGGTACTGCAGCCGTATTGACAGACTGTGTTGTTAATGGTTGAGGTTGGTTTGCAAGGTAGGATAGGATAGATTTGTCAGAAAGAAAGCCATCCGTATATGCATTATACTGCCGTACCAATAGACATCGACGTTTTGCATACAGCTACGTACCTGTATCCTGTGCATAAAAACAAAGCATCACTGGATTATCTCCTTTAATAACAACAAGTCACTTTTCAGCAATACTCAATGATCCATATTCTAAAATAGTACTTCAGTGATGGTTTTTATTTATTCAATGGAGCAGTTTGTAAATCCATTCATTACTATGGAAATCTTCTGTAGATGACCAGTAAAATATTGTCAAAAAGTACACATAACCTTGACCCTTACTACACTGCACCTGGCTGTTATAATAATATTACTTTAACTACCCTAACTGCCACGAGAACAACCACCACCACAGGATCTTGACCCCAAAGTCACGTTTCATCAAGTAGTCATCTCCCCCTAAACCATCCTCACCTCTTCTAGAAACAATTAAGAGAAGATATCGGTAATTTATACAGTCTCAAACAGGGTTCCTAAGACTCAGATGATGACTTAAACCATTGTAGGCCATTCACATCACGATAACGGGACCACCACCGGCACCAACACCTGAACTGTCAAAAACTCGTCCCCAGACACTGTCCTATTTAACAAACATTTTCTTTATCTAATAATTCTTATTTACCTTCTTACCTTATTCTAAACTACGAGGAAAGGACTAAGACGTGAGGACAAAGACTCCTGCAGCAGGGTGGAAGCGTTGAGGCAGTAAATCAGGCGTCTAAGCTTCAGAAAATAACCACTCGAGTTCCAGCCGCCATTACTAGCTGAGCGTCACGGACTGAGACGAAGGTTCGGTTTTGCATCATTGGCAGTCCACAACTATATTATAATACCCTTCTTATATATTAACAAAAATAATCAAATTATTGTTTAATATAAATTTTTTGATATAGATTCAAGTCAATATATAAACTGTAATGGAGGAATATTGACTTTATAAAATTACCTTATTGAACCACTTGTTCGAAGACCGAAAATGGAATAAACCATGAGTCATTAACGTCGGGGTATTTCTTTATCACACCTGCCGAGTACCACGGCTCTCTCTACTGAAACTCTCTCGGATTAAAACTAAAATACATAATAGATTGTATTGCGTAGTATTTATGCAACAGGTTCTATTATATTTGTGCTTCATCGTCAGTTGATTATGAAGGTGGAGGTCCCTGTTCAGTACAGACAAACAAAGAAACTTTAAAGTGAGTTAGTATATCCTGCAGTTTATGTATTCTAGCACTAAAGTAACAGAGTTATGTAGAGTACCCATAACATTCAAGGTCAACAGCTTAATCTACTCATTAACAAATCATCACACGAGAATTGAAAATTTAAACATGAAAGTTCCATCTTTAGACCACTTTTTTATTATTGTCACTAGAATTCTTTGCAAGGAAATGTATGTAATTCTGGAATTTTAATTAAATCTATAATTAATCTACACTAATTTTGTACACGACTTACAAACACAGATCAGTAATAAACACACCATGCGGCAATACGACATGCGTAATTATCATATAATGTTTCCTATACTTCATTTGGTCCGGTTTACAATGAACAAATGATGCAATGCATTTTGTGATATAGTTTATCAGTGAACATCAGTGCCTCATGTAACTTTACTGAGATTGACTGATGGGGTCGCTGGTGCTGGGCCAAGCAACCACACAGATTTCTCGCAGGTTCCTACACTTAATTTTATCCCTACCTGGCGATAGATGTGAAAATACATCTTATTTGGTTCACTTAAGCAAAACGGCAAATTTGACTACCAAATTGGCATCGGAACTGTACCGGAAATCTGTTAGAATGTTCTCTCTTCACCACTAGTTGGGGGAAATAATGTACTGTATAACACAGGAACATCTGAGAATCTTGGACCCTGTACGGCGCTCCCAAGAAATGAAGCTGCCAAGTGTACTACATCCACTTCAAGTTTCATAAAAATTTCAGAATCATATAGTCCGGAGTATAATTTGTGCCAGCACAAATATACACTGATAATATATGAATGTATATACACATAAGCTGTGTACAAATTATAAGTCAGACTGTGTATGAGGAAACTATCTCCGGGGACCTACCTTTTAATTTCATCCACCATTCGCAGTTTCTGCCTTCTCATCCGTTGTATCTATACATCTACCAGTTTTCCCTCATTCCCATTATACTATAGCAAAAGTATAAAGCCGACTTATTCTATAAATTTTAATGTCTTTCTCGTTGCTCTCGCAAGTCTTTTTCCCTCATTTTGTTTTCTCTGCCATTTTCTTAAGGCTAGTTTTAGTGAGACTCGGGCTCTTCCGAAAAGATGGAGGCGTACTGTGATACCTGTTAACTGCTCATATCAGAAAGTACAGTACATCCCTCTGGCCTCCACCCTCACTGGGAAGACAGCTGTGGTGGGACCGTGGGACACGAGCGGTTCAGCCTTACTGTACAGTAGTTCCACCGCTGACTTGAGACACAAATGCGAGAAACGAATTTGGTACGAAATTATGAAGTTATCAAGCGACTCCATCTTCTGTTATCAAATTTATGGATATAAGTAATATGACTTTGCTACTACTGGTGTACTGTGTACCGATGGAAATTATAATTATTTTTCATTAATAATGTTAATAATAATTTCATTATTAATATATTATTGTGTTCAATAGTTTCCTATATTGTTCTCCTTGTACCGGTGTCCCAACTCGCTTTATTCACACTTCTTTTCCACCTAAACTTAATCCTCTCCCATTACTCCCAGAGAGTACTTGCAAACAGTGACGTGACCGACCACCCAAAAGACCGATCAGTGGCGAAGAGGAATGTAAAGTAATTACCGACACATTTCTTACCTCTCACTTATGCCTCTCCTCCCTTAGAAATACCTATCCTTATCTGTACACAGCTGTTTGTCGCCAGTAGCCGACCCGCAATTCCCCAGTGTATGCCTCGTGGTCTGGGTCAACCAGCGCCGCCTTACATGACGGAGGTCAACTACTAAGCACGCCAACCTCCGCTATTTAAAACCTGACCTCGTGGTGACCGCTCTCTTTTTACCTACAACCAGCAAGCAATACATCATCCTCCTCCTCCTCCGCGCCGCGGTCCTCCTCCCGCTGGCAAGCATGGCGACCACAAGCTGTCCTCCTCTGAGCACCCTCATCACCAGCTCTCTCTACATCACACTTGTAACCACGCTGCCACTTCCAGCACCAAGCTGCATTGTACATCAATACAACATGTATACAGAAGCACATGAGTTCCTTCCTCCATCCCATCCCGAGTGTGAACCAACATAATATACACCACAGTATCACTGGAGTCTCCACCCCGACAATTAATTTAGGGAGAGAGTGCTTTAATAATGTTTTGCGTGAGTCGGTGTCTAAAGTTAATCTGCACAGATAATTGATAAGTCGATCAAAAATGATGCCCGTCTGGTATCACAACTGGGTTGAGGTCAGAACCAAACGCACATGGGGGCATCTTGAGAATTTTATTGATTTTTTTCAGTTTTGGACTGTGAAAACTATTACCTTTGTACTGTAGTATCAAACATATTTATGTCCTAATCTCACTATAGATTGACCATATTGGTTCTAGTGCTTAATGGGCCACAGGGGGACGATGAGGCCATGAAAATTGCGCCGATATAGTTTTGGTGGGAATTTAGATAATCCTCTTTAGTTACCCGTTTGTTTTTTTTTTCTTCAAAATAACGTTTTCTTTTATACCAGCTATTTCTCATGTACTGTATATAGAAACTAAGCGTTCATAACACACTTCAAAATAATAACAGTAATTGATATGTGGCAATTCAACCAAAGATAACCAACAAAGACAGTAGGGTCCTTCATTTAAATGCCAACATCATTTGGTGTTTAAAGTGATTGTTTTATGGGAATTTAATTAGTTACAGTACTTACAGAAAAACGCTAAAATTGCACCTTGGAAACCCTAGTTGGTGGTAATTAGCATTGAAAAAATTACATTAAAATAGTCCAAGCGTCATTCCAACCACAATTGAATTGTGGACCATAGTTTCAGGATCAGCAATGCTTACCGGGGGAAATAAATCCATATAGATATAGGACTTGCTACTGAAGCAATGACTGGCTTTATAGTGGATTTTGAGGCATGTTAAACTTTTGTGCTGCCTTTAGAAGCATTGTATTGTGGTAGAGTTCCGTAGTGAAATACAGAATGAGGTATAACTATACTACTGTACAACATTTATTGGAGATGGAGACGACTCTGCTTTTAAAGTCATCATGGAGCTAAATGACAAAAAAAGGTCCTACAATATGTTGCATGTTGACGAGTTAGTAGAAAAGGAGGGATACGTCAACCACATATCCAAGTGGCTGGGCACGAGACTCTGTAAATTGAAATTAGAGACAAAGTGAGTTATTCCCAAGTTATCTTGACATAAAAATTAAACAACATGCATATTTTTTGATGGATTTCATTCATCCCAAAAATTTTTTATCGAAGTTCAGGGAAACAAAATGGGTTCACAAGTATTTTATTTGGTCTTTTTGTTATATACAGTATATTTTAACACATAAAGTTGGGGTACAATATTTTACTGAAGAGAATCCATCAATAAATAAGCAAGTTATAGACAAAATAGTTACAAGAGACTTGCGATGATCTTAATTTAGATATGTAACATCAACTCATACAACATAAAGGGGAGTAATAAAAGATTAATACTTCATCAATGATTATTAAAATAACCAACAACTACAGTCTTGCTTAAACTAATTAAATAATGTACTGTACTAGAACAAGTGATTATTCAACATGAGAGTTATGAATGACTAGGATAACACAAGGCCATTATTAGTACAACTTCAACAGATGTTCATTTAACTTAGAAATACAGCACTACAATTTTACCAATATGCTGTAGAGTCTGGTGTTTACTAAGCTATAGTGTAGCAACATTTTTTTTATGATGTTCAAGGATCTAATCATGGTCAGTACATTTAATTACCAACATTCTCAGAAGAGTATGTGACCATGTAATGAGAACTATAACTTAACTCTATTGTATGTCCATCTGTATATAATAATAATAATAATTTCATTCACCCATTCTCTGTGTCTAAATTTAAAATCTTCTGCATACACAATCACTCAATCTGTCTTACCAACTGTACATCGTTTCCCCAGATCTACTCCCAGTCACATGGCTCATACTGTGTTAATCATTCTCCTACCATGGCCATTCTACCATAAACTACATAATCTCCCATCCATATCCTCATTCTGCCTACCTTCAGTCAATATCCCTCCCAGAAAATACATCTCTGCTTGTGTTAGTGGCCTGTACTTTATAACTACCGAACAGTATGGGTTGTGCTACGAAACAAACTTTACCAATATTGTACATAAGGGATCATATTTTATACTGTATTATACTCCTTAAACCCCTGGTAATTAAGTTATCTTCATGGCTGTACAGTACTATTATAAATTTGTTGGGAATTGTGCATGTGTTTAAAACAACTATAAATGTTTAATAGTCTGTTTAACCACTTGTGTACAAGGTCCCCTCTCTGCTGAATAAGTCTACTGTTGGCCAAATAAAATATTAAGAGCAGCATCCCTGTAGTGAAGGGCTTAAAGCTTCATTTCTTTGTAGTATGAAAAATAGATTAATACACATCATTGCCTTGAATGTTTGGGACAAATAACAAAATGCACTTGATATCACAGCAATAAATGTATGTCACTACTATACTCAACGTTTTGATGCTGTTTTTTCATATTATACATGGAAGCCTAAATTTTCTTTAAGTCAACTTACATTCTTGTTATATGCTGACTGAGATTCAAATGATTTATTCTTAAATGTCAATTCAGTTTGTTAAGGAAATAACATGCCATAAAACATAATGGGAAAATATTATATGCTTTAAAGTTACACAAACCTGACTGCTCTCTATGTATACAATGAATGGAGTCAACAATTTTACCTACCCTTAAGCTCACTAATCATTACCTAAGTGTGAACAGAAGTATCAGAATACACCATTTAAAGTAAAGTACTTTAATCTCAAACTTATTACCTACTCTTGTTTCAATTGAGGTTAGGTTAATTGTTATTATAATATAATTTTAAGACTTGGGTTTTATTTTTTCTTCAAAAACCCAGTTCTGAATTCCATTACTGTATGTCTTAGTGTTCCACTGAAGATTCCAGCTCGGATCACATGTGGGCTAAAGTCACACCAATCTAAATACAGGGTGTCCCAAAAAAATGTGCTCACTCTTTGACTGCCCATTACTCATATATTTTTTGTTTTGATTTAGGTGTTTATTGACATAGATACAAGTCTAATGAGTTAAATTAAAGAAAATAACATTATTTAGGGTTAGTCGCACCTGAAACAAAAACAAAAAATATAAGAGTAATGGGCAGTCAAAGAGTGAGCACATTTTTTTGGGACACCCTGTATTGTACTGTGTTATTTCTAAAATTATAGAAGTGGTTGTGTCACACAGAAGTGTGAAAAAAAAGGGAAATGGTCTTAAAGATCAACAATATGCCTACAAAGGTTTAAGCTATATAAGGGACCAAATTCAACAAAACTAGACAAACACAAGGCTGGGAAACTAAATTGTATTAGTACAGTATCTCAAAGTGAGAGATACATAAGAGATGCAAGTGGAAGACAATATTTCATACCACCATAGCAAATGGCATTGATAACACTCAGGGACAGACAAAAAGATTATCAACAGTGATCCTACATGTGAGACTTCTGTGCCTTAACCTTGTTTGAGTATTGAGAGAGAAATGAGCAGAGGTACACAATAGCTTTACATACTAATTATATAATTTTTTTATTGGGACATGTATGTCAAAATCTATATTTTATTGACTTCTAATGGTTTGTAACCACCTGGTAAAACTGTACCTGGTGATGCAAATACTTACCAGCATCAAACTGATACACTTCTGGCTCAGTTTATTGAAATTTCTACACAATAAAAATAAATACCCAAACGCTACCAGATTTACGACGTACAGTGCTTAACTGGTTGTAAACCTTGTTGAGCTTCAAGTCCATATCTCAGGCACTTCTACAAGATGATACACGTCTTGGACTAAAATAAAAAGATAAAGACAAAATTAGGAGCTTGATGGGCAGTGCTACAGGACAGTACAGTATTAGCCAAAAAAAATACACTTCTGAAATATTTTCTGCTGATATAAGAGATAATTTGTTAATGTTAATTGGGGCATCCTTACCAAAAATCAAGGTACAGGTATATCTGTATGTGCCTTCATTTCTACTACAAACAAATTTACATTTTGCATTCCAAAGGCAATGGACTGATAAAAATTTCCACAAGGAAATGTAACCTGCAGGAATACAGTATACAGTGGTCCCTCGGTTAATGAACGGTTCGATTAATGAAATTTCGGTTAACGAATTAGCTCCCATAAGGATTTTCAGTTCAATTAACGAACAAAACTTCTATTAACGAAATCCTTACGACAAACACGTTTTGTTGTGCGCATCAGCTGATAGGCTAGTCCGCCAATACAGTAATAGGTTCTATGTTTACATTCGTTTCCAGTGGAGTAAATATCAAAAAAGTTGTGCTCTTTTAATGTTTTTGCATTTTTATATTAAAATTATTAGTCATTTTAAAATTTTGTTAACATATTGATAATATATGCAGTACAGGGAACTAGTTTTTTGTGCACCCATCAGCCGCTTGACTCACATGCCAAAGCGTCTGTTTAACTTTGTTTACAGTGGAGGAACCATCGTGTTTGTTGGTCTCTTGAATACAGAGTATTTTTACTTTTTTACATAAAAATTATTGGTCATTCTGAAATTTAGTTAACATATTGAAAATATATAGCACAATGCAGTGTTGATTTAAATAAAATAATCCTTAATTGCAAACAGTGAACTTAAAATTTTATTGGTGAAATTACTGCATCAAGCATGGGTGAGAAAGATGATTCCCCTCAGTGTTCCTCTCCATAAAGGAGAGAGGATTTTCATGTTAGAGAATCTGTCAGTCCAGAGGTTCCTGACATTATTGTGGAAAGTGACTCGCCTTCCAAGAAGCATTAAAATGTTTCTCTTCTCCCTTCTCCTCCACCCCCACTTCCTTATCTTCTCCCTTCTCCTCCACCCCCCACTTCTAATTCCTATCATCATCATCATCAACCAACAACATTCTACAGACACACCTCAAAGTAAGTATACTGTACTGCATTTTTTTTATACTTTGTATGTACTTTTCTGTGAGTTGGAACCAATTACCCAATATCCCATTGAAATAATAGATTCGGTTGACGAACGACTGTGTGGAATGAATTGTGTTCGTTAACCGAGGGACCACTGTATTAATTACTCTAGTGCTAAAAACCATTTGTCATGTACAGTACTTTATGATTCTACCCTAGCAAAGGTGTACTCAAGGTCTTAATAATGCTTGGTTTGATCTACTGTCAAAGCACTGTAAATGAAACAATGTAAATTTCAGCAATGGCAGTCTCTCAGTGTAATGTCTAGCCCACCATGAAGTGGATGCACTAACAATTTGTTACAGGTAAGCTACAACTAAGGTGAAAATTCACATTTTTTTTGTTTTTTTTACGGGGATTAGCCCACCCGGACACAGGTCACTGACCCACATCGGGGCCTGGGGGGCGAAAATGTTGTAATAATAATAATAATAGTAATAGTAATAATAATAATAATAATAATAATACGTAGTCATAATAATTCATAATAAATAAAATTTATGATAAAACAAACAAAATAAAATAATGATGATAATAATACAGTAACTGTAATAATAATATTAATAATAAAGAACTATAAATACAAAAATGAAAAAAAAAGATCAATAGTGAGAAACGATATATGTATGTTGTGTTGTCAATGGTAAGAGAAACAATTGAGACCCTGCAATTGTGTGTAAATGAGGCAGAAAGTCAGATCAGAAACCTGGGACTTGGTCACAATTTTCGTGATGCCATATAGCAGCAGGGTCTACCATTAGACAACACATTATGCTTCCAATATCTTCCCAGGCAGTAGTACCTCCCTGTTTTTGTAGCTGCCTACTACCTACCTACCTGTTTATGGCCAGGGGTTGTTCCTCTTGAGGGATTAGTCGCAGATTCCTCAGATGAAGCTGTAAAAGCCTCCATCACATCTCTTATTACTTCCCCAGATTCCTCATTATTTAGGTCTCCAATAGATTCTGAAAACAGTCACTTGTGTGTGTGTGTGTTTTGTTTATCACAATGTAAGAAATTACATTCACATATACAAGTTTATTTATAGCATCACAAGTAGGGGCTAAAATGGGAGGAGTTTAGAGACAAAGATAGCTGAAACACTACCTGCATTTTAACACTTTACCTATCACAAACAGCACAACACAATGAATAGATAAAAAGGGTTACCTAATTGAGCATCCTCCTCAAGTGGGTGATCATTGTTTGGTACTTCTGTAGTGGCAACTTCAACACCATCAGTCGAGTCCTCGGCCACAACTAAAATACTCTTAATGGCAGATGATGATTTCTTCCGTCCAAGACCACCAAAGAACCGGGCAAAACGACCACCTACGTTGGAAACATAACAACGGGGAGAAAAAAAATTAAAAATAGGATTCTCTTTCTCTCTATAATATTCACTTTCCAATTTTGGGGGAATGTATGTTCTAAGTTGAGAAGCCTTCTACACCTTTGTCTCTTTCATTCACCTCTTATGTCAGGTAGGGAATACAAATGATCTAGTCTAAAAGAGCATACTTTTTATTTCTGCTCATCATCTGGTCTGTCTAATTCTGAGGCCTTACTTGATCTGTCACAATTTCTTCAGTACTGTTAATTTATACCACCACAGAGACTTCCACTTCCCTTTAGTCACCATACAGGTACAGGACAAGGTGTTGCCATTATCCTCAATTACTAAATATTTTTTCCTGTCCTGTCTTTTGTAATTAGTTTGTACAGATTTAGGAGAGAAAGGAGTCTGGATGCAAGGGAAAAAATGTAAATAAGAGGTGACAAAAATGATGTGCTTGAGAGTACAGTACTGTACTGTTTTATTTGGAGTAAACCGACACAGCATGAGAAATACTGTACTGAAATTAAGACAAAATACATGGAAACAGTAGAAGTGTCAGACAGTATGGATACTGTAAAATAAAAGAGTGAGAAAAAGGTAGAGGGGAAGACCAAGGATGGGGTGAAGGAAGTGCAAGTACAGTAAAAGAAGTGAGGGCGGTGGAAAATCAGAAAAACAACAGTGTAAATGAGAGGAAAGTATGACGGTGAGTAGATTATGGGGAAGTTTTCAGAAGTTTGAGTAGAGAACAGCAGTTAAAAAATTAAAGGCTTGCAAGAAGAAAAGGACATTGGATGAAAAGGTACAATGGAAAAGAATGTTGGGAAAACCTTTTTTTTCTGGTGGAGGAAGTTTCTCTTTACTTTCCTGGCTGTGTTCCTCTTCCTCCTCACTCTCAACATCCAACACACCACTCTCATCTGTGCTGACTCCATTCTCCACAGTCTCCTGGTTGTCGTCAGTTACCTAAAGAATGTAGGCAGAAATGATAAGAGTCATTTCGTGATCCAATTTCATAGTTGAGGTGGAATCTAGCAAATTTGCTTAGCCAACAAGTCTAAGGGATTGTGTGGATGGAATCTTAAAACTGTATTCATGAAAGACTGATTATCATTAACTCTTATACTGTGCTGGATTCCAAAATTAAGCAAGTGGTATGCATGTACTATAAAAAGGTTGAGGGTTGGAAAGTTAAATGTGTTAAAAAATGTTGCATACAACCACATCCAGGGCACTGCCAAACTTAAGGGTTACTTCTCCCTCAACTTTCTATAAACATTTTGTAACCTTTTCTATTATACACATCTTCATAACCCTGTAGATCCACCAACATGGCTGTTTAGGTCATTACTCAGTCCTACAATTTCCCTTTCACCTAGCAATGACACTACCTGTAGCAACCCATGCCAGAACTTGTCCTTCCATTCCTCATCAGTGAGATGTATGCAGATACAACAGTCACTAGATTATTGTCTACCAGTAGCTATAAAATCATATTCTAGCATTCACCCTTCTCCACCCACTTTTCAGCATTCAAGATTCTACACCACCTGACCTAGAATCAATATCCTACCAGTAGATTTTATATCTGTTATTCTTACAAGCAGTAAACATTAAGCTTTCTACAGCTCCATACTTTGAGAAAATGACTAGCTATTTCCCACACCATTCACACTCCTGGCTCTGAAACCAACTTTTCTCGCATGAATTTGTACAGTGTAAAGGTAATTTTTGTTTAACAGGTTGTGGTGTCATAGTAAAGTTAGGTAATGACCAAAATATTGTCCCCCCCTCCCTCAAGCACACCCAGGTACTGGCATGCTAATGAACCTGATGCTGTAGCACAAGTAGACCCACTACGACCAGCTTCAGGAACACCCTTTCATGTGCAACATAGCACTAAAGCTGGCTGTAGTATTATATGGTTGATGATGGAACAGCCTGTTGGGGCACTAGCCCTGATTTTGAACTCCTGTAATGTTAATTGGAATTTCCAGCCAGTGAAATACTCATTTGGTACCCTCTGTACAGCCCAGCTCAGAAAATACAGCAGCAACCAGAGGAAAAACATGGCTTTGGTGTACCGGTTGTCAATAGGCATGTTGGAGTAAGCTTTTACAGCTACATGTCCTTCCTATCACCAATTCACAGAGTGGGAACAGCTGGCAAGGCAGGGTTCCAACTCCCTGAGGTGATCAAGGAATACTAGGCTACCCACATAAACAATATTAATCATCCACAAACAAATCTTAATTTAGAGATCATCATTAACATATATAGCATTACTTACACATGAGTTTGGATCATTAACAGCTTGAGATTCCTCAGCTAGCTGTGCTGGACCTTCAGTATCAGGTACTGTCGGGAGCACTGTGTGTTTGATTGGTGGTAACCCAACAGATTTTAATGGAGGTAGAACACCCTGAAAAACAATATGCTTACTATTAATTTTATTTACTATCTACATACCGGTACTGTACACCTAAATCCTCCGTGTCAACTGTACAAGCAAATCGCAGAGGCACATAAAACATTCTCACTGCATGATCTCCAAACAACCAAGTATTAACTACCTAACTAACAGTAATCCTCAAAATACCATGAGTAGAATCTTATATTGGGTTCTTACCAAAACAACTTAGCTGCTGCATATCTCATCAACATCAAATACAGTACAAAAAGTCCAATAAGGTTAAAAATATTTACTAAAGACATCCTGCAGAATAATGCATCTCTCACATAACCTGCACCACTGCTATTAGCCTACTGTATAAACTAAGGTTTATGACAAGAATATGGGCTAACTCTGTCCACATATTATTATATTAAATAAATAGTAGAAGTAAGGAACTATGAAAAAGATGATGTAGCAGGATACAAGTACTGTACAGCATTCATAGAAAAATACAATACTGTCAGTCTGATGGAAAGTAATAATAATCTGTGAAGCCTTCAAGTGACACTCAAAATAACCAGCAACAGGAGATATAATACGATAAATGCTGGAGGTTTTGCTGAAGTTTACTCGGTTATGGTTGGAAGAAGTCTAGGGAGTTGCAGCCTTTATTGGTGGTAAGAGGCCCTTTCTCTTCACGTGAAAGGAAAGTTGTATGCATCTAGCGTGATATGTGTGATGTTGTTTGGAAGTTAGATGTAATGTCTTCAAGAAGTGAATAAAATCCTTGGGCTCTGTTTTAAAGTACAGTATTTGATCTGGAAAGAAATGCTGAATTAAAAATCTTCAAGAATTTTTTACAAATCAGCAAGTTCTTGTAAGGCCTTCTGACCCTAAATGGCAAGAGTACAGACATGTTATGATTCCTCCGCAAATAGAATCGATTACAATTATGTATGATTACCTTGCAAGTCCATAATTACGCTTCCTTCAAAAACAAAGTACAGTATTACCCCGCTTTACGCGATTTCACTTTCCGCGATTTCTCATTTACGAGGTGCCTCGCCAGAACTTTCACTTTCACTTTCCGCGGTTCATCTACCCATATACGCGCAGAGTGTCTGGCTCGACGCTATTTTTAGATTCGACCCTCCCGCCTGCTCCCGCCTGGGCAAGCCGCGCGGTAAGGTTGCGCAGTGCATGTCCCTGTTGCGTTATCAGTGACGTCATATGACGTATCGGACTGTGATTGGCCATGCATCCTTACCTCCCTCCGCTGCTAGCTGTAATTGGTTTAAAGTAATATGACGTGTTCACCCGCGGGAGGGAGGGAAGACGACGCTTGACCTAACTGCGGCAGTTTCATCCCTCCAGGCCACACCGTGTATACGTGCATCCATTGTTCTGTGAAATGGCTTCCGCTGGACCACCGCCACCAGAGAGAAACCTTTCCTTACCTGGACCCAGCCGCCCGAAGCCAAAGAAGATACGACGTTCCCTAAGCTACGAAGTGAAATACCAGATAATTCAAGAATTGGAGAAAGGAACATGTCAAGCTGATCTCGCGCGCCAGCATGGAGTCAACGAATCTACGATTCGTACTATTAAGAAGGATGCAGTCAAGATCAAAGAGCACATGAGAATCACAAAGTCTGCAGGTGCCTCAATGATCAAGTATTGCCAGAACAAGGTGCTGCTAAAGGTGGAAAATTTGCTGGCGAGTTATTTGATTCAGGAGCGACGCAACATGGCAGTGGACACGCGATCTGTTCAAGAGTACGCACGTGAACTGTACGCAGCAGTGTCACGTAAGATGGGAATTGCAGAGCCCAAACCCTTCAATGCTTCCTCTGGTTGGCTGCATAGGTTTAAGAGGAGGAACAATATCACCAACATCAACATTGGTGGTGAAGAAGCGAGTGCTAACCGTGTGGCGGCTAGAGATTTTCCTCCGTTCTTACGTGAGGTTATGGAGGAAGGGCAGTTCACTGACGACCAGGTGTTCGGAAGTTGCAGAAGGAGCGCATCACTGTCCTCCTTACCACCAATGCCTCCGGTACCTGTAAACCAAAGTTATCGGTGATTCACACAGCCCGCAAGCCGCACGCCTACAAGAACGTGGACATGAGCAAGATTAATGTCCACTGGCTGACCGCACGCAAGGCGTGGATGTTCTCTGCTCTGTCACTCTCCTGGTTTGATGACTGTTTCATTCCCGACGTGAAGAAATTCTGCGAGCAACAAAATGTTCCATTCAAGATTTTGTTGCTCCTTGACAACACACCAGGACACTCGCCCCTACTTATGGATCGTCACCCCAACATAAAAGTGGTCTTCCTTCCTCCCAACACTACATCACTAATCCAGCCCATGGACCAGGAGTTGATCTGCAATGTTAAAGCTGCATACTCGGCAAAGAAATTCAAGCTCCTGAACGACTGTACCAAAACCAAGGATGAGTTGCGTAAGCTGGTTGACACCGATAGCGAGAGCAAAAGCGACGAGGACAAGGAACAAGAGGTGGTGACTCAAGAAGTTCTCGTCAAACAGTTTTGGAAAAAATTTAACGTCAAACAAGCTGTAGACTTCTTGGTGGAGGCATGGGATCAGCTGTCTATAGCTACGATTCGTCACGCATGGAGGCATGTGTTGTATGACATACCAGGTGAGAGGCGGAGTCAACCTGTGACTGGTGAGGTTCAGTCTGTGACAGTGGCATTGGACCTTTCAAAAGAGAAGCTGCGCACAGTATTACAGCTGAAGGCTTCTCCGAGACCACCAACGAAGACATCCTGGAGGTGATCAGAGATCCTGAAATGACTGCCGACGAGATGTTGGAAGATGATCACGTCAGTGAAGAGGAAGGTGGTGCATCAATCCCAGAACACAAATTAACACATAGTAATATTAAGGGTGCCATCGAGTGTGCAGAGAAATTAAAGCTCTTCCTTTCCAACGACCCTGACGATGACCGCTATGAAGTCTTCCATACCCGGCTGGTGCAGGCTATGGAGCCGTACGTCAAGGTGTATCAAGACAACATCAACACTAGCCGTCAAAAAAGCATTACCGAGTTCTTCGCCCGCAACCCATCACAGCCAGCCAGAGCCAGTGATAGTGACAGTGAAAGTGACTTTGAGGGATTTGTCAGGGAAGCCCTGACAACTATAACTGATAGTGATGGTGATGCACCTAGTAATGGTGATTCACCTGAGGGCCAGTAATCTGCCCTCTGCCTCGGAACCAGCCTCCATCCCCGTATGCCGACCCATCTCTTCTACTAACGAATGTGTTACACCCAACCTTTAGTTTTCCTAACCTAACCTTTATTTTTCCTAACTTAACCTTAATTTTCCTAACCTAACCTCTTCTATATTAATTGTGTGTGCATACCATCATAAAGTTAAGATAATATTTTTATTACAACATAGTTGTGTGTCGTCAAAAAGTGGAGTTTGGGGGTCGGGCCAATCTCTATTGGAATTAATCCCATATGTTCTGTTGTTCACTTTACGCGGTACCCTGTGGGTTCAATTGACCGCGTAAATCGGGGTACTACTGTAATCGATTACAATTACATTAAATATGTTTTCACGATTCCTAGGATTCCAAATTAGGTAAACAAAAGTAAACAACATATAATTACAATCATGAAAGGTATTTAATGCTAGATAATAGTGAATACCTGTATTAAATGCTGTACTACAATTTTTTTTTTTAAAAGTCAAATATATTATGAAAAATTCTCGTATTATATTTATGAGTTATCGAGAACATATTAAAAAAAATTGGTAACTAGTTATTGAAGATTTTACTCTCAAAATCACAGCACATATTTCCAAATTCTCGCAAATTTTTTTACATAATTCTTAAGGGATTGTAATTAATTACAGTAACATTTTTTTCAATTCAAATAAATGACCAGCAAAGTCATATATCAACCTAACAAAATTGAATACCTTCACTTAAATTATTTATTAAATTTAATGAACATCAGGCTGTGGAACTTTGCATTGAACAGGCAGCAGCATTCTGGACCAAACACCTTCCCTGCCATGCTGAACAACCTCTCCACTGGTGCTGAGGTGGCTGGTGTCCCCCCCTTGGTGTGCTATAATTGTTTGGCAACATTACTTTAATAGTTTCCTAATTCTGGTGTGTAAACTTAAATTCAGCTGCATAATGCTGTCAGAGAATATATACTGTAGGGAGTACAGACATAACAGGTGTTTCATAACAAAGAAATGTCCATGGATCAATAGAGTTATAAAAGAGTATTACATGGCCCAACTCTGGATATAAAATAGTGTAGTACAAGGTATTAGTTAAACTTATAGATGTATGTATTTAGTGTACAGTCTCACCCAAAAGTTCATTGACTCTCCCAGCCAGCTATTGCTGCACTGCCTGCTTCAGATGTATGAACTTGAGTCTGCTACTTCGAACCTTTAGCTTCATTCGTATCGGTTTCATGTTCTAGTTGGTACTGAGACAGTTTCAAACATCTGAAGCAGGCAGTGCAGCAATAGCTGGCTGGGATCAATAAACTTTTGGGTGAGACTGTACAACTAAATATTGAGGTCTATAGTTTGAAGTTATGAGAGCAATGTAATGCAAACTGTAGTGCATAAAATATGTACATTGTATGTGTGTACTTGTAAACACATGCATCACCTTCAATACTCACACTGTGAACACTGTTACAATGGTGCATGCATGCCTATCACATCACTCTTTGAAATTTCATAAGTGGCTTAAAAGCTGAACTTCACAACAAATAGAATCATTCAAAATAAACCTGACAAACTTTTGAATCCAATACTGTAGGAATAGGACCAGGCTGGACCTGCAGATAAAGCAATAAACCAGTTACATTAAAACCTCCTATAAACTAAGCTTGAATTTCAGTTATCTAAAATATCAATTTAATCCTTTTTTCTTTGCTTTACAACAAATTCAAAGATAAAGCTACTATGCTAAGATGTAATAGAGGCAGTAATTTATTAACCCTTTTAGTCCTATAGCCACAAAACTATCTTTCTGGTTTTAAATAAAAATATTGCAGAATACTTGCACCTTTCAACACTCTCTCTGGGAAACTTTTGGACAGTTGCCAGGCCTGGAAGCTCCAATAACATGTCCCTGAATACGAATTTGCAACTTTCTATTTACAGCAGGTACCTACTTTGCTGCTAAGTGAACAGGGACCAAGGGGACTAGGAAGAGTGTCCAAACAACTTCCGCCGGCCCGGGAATCGAACCCGTGACATTTTGCTTGCAAGGCAAGAGCAGTACCGCTCTACCACCAGCGCCCCCTAACCAAGATTAAGTCGATTTATTTTGTTTTATAGCTTTTACCATTATGTTTAATTAATTTACAAGGCCAATTTACTCTTTTATTTTTCAAAAATCTTTGGCTGGAAGGGACATAAACAGACTGGGCATAGGTCTAAAAGGGTCAACTCATATGTACTCTAGTCATATACAGTACTGTACAAATAAATTTTAGTTAACCATCATATTTATATCTAAACAATACTACTGTACTAGTCTCTGTATTTGCCTATACTATACCTTGTGCTACTGGTAAATACCCTCTTACCAAAGGTTCCAGTAGAGATAATAAACTATTATAAATAAAAAGTTCTACAGATAATTTGTGCAATTTCCTCTTGGAACAACAAAGATATTTATACAAATTACTATTTTCATCATCATCCACACTAATATACACCATATACAGTACTCATGCTTAAATCTGCACTCGCTTTAAAAGCACGCACGCACACTGGACTACCCGTTTGTCCACAACCACCCACTTATATCACTTGCCCATTTGTATTCAAACAAAATTGACAGAACATATATCTATAATAACATTGATAGCCAAAGAAACATTGAGAGATGAACCAAAAGAGAGAGAACACGAACGTACATCTGTGACTCTGCGTCGTGCCCGAGCCATACTACTGATAGAATGATGGACTGGGTAACTGTTCTCCTCCCCAGCGGACTCTTCCTCATTGGAGCGCCTATAACCCAGAACCATTGTGTGGCAGCCTCCACAGCCAACCTGGGGTAATACACACATTATCAATTGGTTATAAAATGACTACTGACACAACAAACTAAATATGAATTCATCAGATAAGGGAGTTCTTGTTTGTGCACACATTATGTAAGTGAAAAATACAAAAGGGGTTGTCATATATACAGTAAGTAAATTATTAAAAAGTGAACAGACAAGTGTATATGGAAATCACCTTGATTTATATTACACCTAAAAATGTCACTGCCAACCAAGGGGTAAAATAATTAGATTAATGGATAGATACACACACATATACTAAATATACAACTTTATGTATAACTATGGGTAACCTTGTTTGTACTGTATAACTGAATGAGAGTAACTGACAGTTTAATAATGATGGCACACGAATAAGTTCATGTGTGAATGAAAAGGTGCTCACCAAAACAACAGTGATGTGACGTAAACGACGGACAGTCACTGGAATGAACTGCGAGGAAAAGTTTTCCTCTCCCTGACACAGCTTGCCATGGCGTCCACACCCCCAAGTCAGCAGGTACCCATCATCTGAAACACACAATGCTTCTATTAAGAACATGACCACCAAGATTCAAATTAATTTAAAGTCACCTACTCTCACTCATGTCATGCAGTACCCCATACTTAAAAATACAGAATAGCCATGTTGATATTACAAGGCCATGAGTGTGTTCCAACATGCATCAAACAACTTTACTCCTACCACTATGCAAAGCTTGCTGTTTAATTTCTACCTGGAAGATCTTTTTCGCATTACAGTCTTCTTTGCATGCTATAAATACCCAAAGCTTCTAAAGGTTCATTCATGTTATTTTCACCTAATAAACTCCATAAATGTAGCTAAAATTTTTCTCTTCCCTTCTTCAAAACTTTCTCCAAAACCTGCTCAAGTGTAAGAATCTGATCTACACAACTTTCATCCTTACAGTCAACTTCTTTTCTCAATCTAATTTCAGTTCAGCATTGATTCAAGAGATAAGAACAATCAATTTACAAAAACAAGAGAGAACTAAGGCATTCATTAAGTCAATTCTTAAAACACTGGCTGAATAAAAAGATACAAAATACTTGAATTAATGAAGGAGATAATATTGAGCTTTTTTTTTCATAAATGATAACCAAAACAAGAGACAAACATATTCAGCATACTTTATGATGCCTTCACTTTGTAACCAAGTTGGACAAAATATCACCTAGATAAACATTTCAAAAGTCCTTAACTTCCCTATAATATGGAATAAACTGTTGAAATTGAAAGCCCTTAGCTAACCAGAAACCAAAACTGGCAATACTAAATAATAGTAACATATTTGTCTCATAGGTTATGCACCACAGGAGAATTTTGTTTTCTTCTTCAGGCAAAACTCATAACAAATCAATTAAGATTGCAGAGAAATTAGTACGAGAGGTAAGAGTCAGTTTAATATTAATAAATGGAAAGTTAGATACTTTACACCAATCGGCTGCAAAGGAATTTAATCAACAACAGCCACATCAAATACTGTAGATTTATTAGTCCCAGCCATTACTGTACAATGTACTTGGGTAACTTATGGAGAGAATCGAGTCATTTTTTAGAATTAATCCTTCCTTTTTGTTTTGATTCTCACCTGAAATTCTAGAACATTACTCAAAATTTCTTCACCAATCCTGGTACTGTAATCATTATCAAATAGAGAAGGCTACTGTACTCCACATTAAGATTACTGATCTACATGCTTCTTTAACTGTGCACAAAAGGGCACAATAATGACAGATACAAAGATCTTCAGATACACACATACATATTGTATATAAAATATAAAGAAATATTGTATACAAAAGAAAATTTGAGTAAAATTTTCATACAGAAATAATTAGGCATACCTGTAATGGCAGATGAGTGATTATCACCAGCAGAAATAGCCACAATAGCACCAGTGTTCGTCTCAACGACTTCTTGTGGCTGCCAGCACTGCAGTTCCCCTCCACCTTGCCCAAGCTCTCCACTACTGCCTGACCCGCATGAATACACTGTTCCACCCTCTGTAGCACATTATACAGTAATCATAAATACAGTAGATAAATGTATATGTGCCGATATATATCTTCACAATTAAATCATTATACTATACAGGCAGTCCTCGCTATGTGAAAGGAATGCATTCCAAGGAAATGGTGCTCAGTGAAAATTCTCCTATATTTTCTCATAGCCATAGAGTTATAAATGGAGGATGTGTTCTTGGGGCAGCATTAATTACTAGATGACTTTACTGTAAGAAAGATTGTCATAATATTTCTTTTAATTAGTTAAGAAATGCTGAGGAAACCATTAAGAAAGTTTATTAGTAGCCTATATGAGGAATAAAATTAACTGATGCTGCATCTAGTAGACAGGTATTGCAGTAGATGGGGTGGAGGAGAGGGTATAGATACTCAGAAAACAGCAGTGTGTGAATATTAATGGAGATTATAGTGTTAAATAATTTATAGGGATGGACATGCTGCTGATGGAAGTTTGCCGGGTTCTGTGAACTGACAAAAGCGAACCAGTAGGAAATTTTGGGGCCATGTTGTGGATTAGCATGCAGAAACCATCTGTAACTGTAGTTAGAGAGAATGTATAACAGTAAATGATGGGGTCAATGTTGTTCTTGATTTCAGCCACCCTACACATGAGAACAAAGGTTTGCAAGAGTGAAAAAAGTGCAAATTTTAACAAAATGACTTGCAAAAAATTATTGAAAAAACAAGCACAACTTTACATACACATGAATAATTCAACAGACAATCATTTCCATTTACCTTCCATTTATAGCCTTTCCTTTTTATTTATGCAAGTTTAAGTGTTACATGTACACCCAATAATTTTTGTTCGAGCAGGGATTATGCAAGCACTTAAGGCATGCTGCCCTACTGCAGGCATATAGTGTATAAGCAGCCATAACTGATCAAGTTAGTCAAATTAAGGCATATCACACAAAAGATATACAATACTGTACAGTATATTATCAAAACATGCTTGTAAAATTTCCAGAATGGCACTGGCTGATATCAATGCCAAAAAATAACTAAAGTCTGCTTTGTACAGTACTACAGTCCCCTGTACAATAAAATTAAAATTTTCTGTACATCTATGAAAATTTCCAGTTGTGTTACCAGGTACACCATCTGACCATCGTAAACATGAACTTATCTCTCCCATTTATTGCTTCTGGCCCTCATATCATTTCTGTACCATGAATTGATGACTCCTTCAAAAGTTTTCAGAACCCTGGACTCGCATATTTTTAAATATTGTCCAAAATACTAAAGGACACTGTTGAAAACCTTATTCCAGTACTCCAAATCTATGCAAATGTGATCAAGAACATTTAAACATACCTCTCTAACAGTAGGCATAGTTGTGTTGGTGCTGAACAAACTGTGCAAGTAGAAAAAGCAAACACAAATTGGTTAAGAGATGTATACAATATGTATCACATAATTAAAATAACAGATGAAGTGGAAACTAGTGTAGGTGCAAAACATCAGATAGCAGAAAGACTTAAATAAAAGCAAAGGTGAGAAGCACAGTTCTTCAAAAAGAGACCTACTTTGAAAATAAGTTCTGTATTTCTATAACACAACACTTCAATATAGAAAATATTTGCAGAAACTAATAAACTGCTTATTATTATGCAATTGGAAGGCAAAAGCAATGTTGCCTAGAGTAACAGAAACATCTTTCTTTTATTTTAATAATTACAATAAGATGTAAATTATGATTCGCAACAAAGTAATCTGATTAATTTTTGAATAAGATGTGTAGGAAAACAATTTAAGACCTACAATGCTGGAAGACCAAGTGATCAGCTGTGACTTGGTAATATGTGCACAGAAATTAAAATAAAAAAACATCCTAAAATAATAGCCTTAGAAGAAAATACTCACCTGACAAGAAGAGTGTGTGTGCACTACCGGCAGCAACTTGAGTAATCTTCTCTGGGATTGAAACTACTTGAGGTTGGCGATGAAAGGGCAGCTGACTTTCTGGCAACCCAAGCTTTCCGTGTTCATTCTCACCCCAGGTATAGGCTTGTCCTGATGCTGTTGAGAGCAACCATATGTAGTAAAACATTTCATTTATTTTCAAGCTCAAAGTACTAGACAGGTTTGATTTCAACTGGGTTTTCTTTTTTGTACTGTAAGAATTGCTCACTTGAGTTGCTCAATAAAATCCCTCTACCTCCAGGATATGTCTGAATTTATCAACCAAGTTTGGACGCTTTGGGTAATGTTAATTCAATAAGAGTAGAGCCCCAAAGTTGTTAAATTAGAGGGGTTCAGGTGTACTGAATTTTTATCTAATCAATGTTTAATTCTGTTAATATTTTCTTTCCCTAAGTACTCTATGACACTAGCCATCCTGACAACATGAATACCAAGCTGAAAGATGAAATATGGGAACACAGCTGAAGCTCTCAAGTTAGAAGGTGGTGAGTGAACAGCATTGTTAACTGAAGAAAACATTTAAAATCAATAACAAAACTAATATTGAACTTGAAAGTAATTTAAAGTACTGTATTTCATTATACAGTACAGTTTACGACTCTACCATGCAGCAAGATTGCTGGTTAATGTGTGCACCACTCTTGTGCTGTGCTCTTTCCTGCACCTCAATGTGCACCTAGCCTCCGTAATGAGATTATGCTTCATCAAACCAATTTCAATAGTAATTGCCATTAAAAGACACAGTGCAGGTATTAATAATTTTCCACATAGTGAATAATTTTGATTCATCTTTAATCCTTCAACTTTTCCTATGACGGGGCTGCTAAAATTTTTTGGAGATTGTCACTTCCATTCATGAGGGGAACATAAATTTGATGAATCTAAACAGCTCAAAGACATTATTTAGAAGGAAAAATGGGGTGCAATCATCCAAAGAGAACCTTAACCTGTTGCAGAAGGGATGTGTACAGCCTGTATTATATATACCAGAAACAGCCACAGTGTGGTAGTATCCACAAGAAATGGTAATCAAAGGGTCTGGGAGTGTTAGTAATGCAGGCGTCAGTTGCTCATCGACATCAAGTCCAAGCTGGCCTTCACTATTGCTGCCCCAGATGTACAACTCTCCACTTTCTGTAATTAAGATAAACTTGAGTGAATGAACTGCTTTGCCCAAACCATTACTTGACCCAGGTTTTTCTCACACTTTATAATTATATAACAGATGTTGCATCCCACCCTCATTGACATTTACCACAATTTCTTCACCATGACACACAAAAATAAACATTCCCTCATCAGTGAACAAATCCATAGAGTAAAATACCCAAATGAGTGTTGACATCGCAACATTCAAATTACTGAATCATGGAAAATACACAAATGTTCACATCTTTATACAGAACTGTATATATTTAAAGAAATTCATGTGCATTATTATGTTCTTAAAATACACACACAAACACACAAAATACTAAGAACCCCACACCCCAATGTACATTACGTATACAGGAGGTCCCTGACTTACGAATGCCAGCCGATACGAACGAGGTTAAACTTGAAATTTACAGTATTTTATTTACCTGATGACTTATTTTTTACTTTAATTTACTGTATTTTGTCATTCTATTTCTTCTTTTGTCTTAAACTAAGAGATTTTAATTGCATATAAGGACTTAAGCTTTGATATAGTGAGATTTTAAACATTGTTTTGTAAGTACGGTAGACATATAGCATGTGTTCCGACTTATGTACAAATCCGACTTACTAACGTCCTCAGGAACGTAACCCATTCGTAACCTGGGGACCCCCTGTACAGTATTACACACAATCCCTCACATATACACAAATGCTATAATACACCCATGTACACAAAACAAAACACCCACGCTCTCACAGATACACTAGCAGCCACAAACATTAATATGTATACAATATTGTACACATAATTTTATAAATACACAGGAGGGAGGGCATGAGGGAGGAAGAGTAAGTGTGGGGGGGAGAGAGTGAGTGTAGGGGGGAGAGGCATGAGTGTGGGGAGAAAGGGGGGAGAGGAATGAGAATGGGGAGACAGTCATAAGTGAGGGGGAGAGAAGTGAGTGTAAGGAGGTGAGAGATAAGTATAGGCAAGATGAAACAAGTAAGGGGTTGAGGGACAGGGTGAGTGGTGAGTGTAAGAAGGAGAATGATGAGTGGAAGGATGTGAGTGTGGGGTGAGGTGAGGGTGAGGTGAGGGTGAGGTGAGGTGAGGGTGAGGTGAGGTGAGGGTGGGGTGAGGTGGGGTGAGGGTGAGGTAGGGTATGTATGTATGTGTGTAGGGTTGACGAGGAGCAGCAAGGAGGACTAAACGCACCATTAAAATAACTGTGTAATAGAGGTAGTCACGAGCCCACATGCCTAACATTCCTCACTATTGATTTTCACCAGGTGTATATTTAGCTGGGATGACGGCTGGGACTCACACCTATGGAGTATTTCACTGACTAATTAACTCAAGTGACTCATCTACAGGATCTCAGTGACTTACATCTATAGGATCTTAGTGACTCGTATATACAGGATCTCAGTGACTCACATCTATAGGATCTTAGTGACTTACATCTATAGGATCTCAGTGACTTGATAACTCAGTGACTCACATCTACAGGATCTTAGTGACTCGCATCTACAGGATCTCAGTGACTTGATAACTCAGTGACTCACATCTACAGGATCTTACTGACTAGATGACTCAATGACTCACACCTACAGAATCTTGATGAAAAATATTAAGTAACTTAGTAACTCATAAAAAACAGTGACAGCCACAGTAACTCACACAACCACAATAACTCACATAACTACAGTAACTCACAACCACAGTACAGTAACTCACACAACCACAGTGCAGTAACTCACACAACCACAGTGCAGTAACTCACACAACCACAGTACAGTAACTCACACAACCACAGTACAGTAACTCACACAACCACAGTACAGTAACTCACACAACCACAGTACAGTAACTCACACAACCACAGTACAGTAACTCACAACCACAGTACAGTAACTCACAACCACAGTACAGTAATTCACAACCACAGTACAGTAACTCACACAACCTCAGTAACTCACACAACCACAGAACAGTAACTCACAAAACCACAGTACAGTAACTCACACAACACCTACCACATCAATACACAACCAGACTAATTTACTTCACAAGACCACAGAATAAGAGTATGGTAACTCAATCACAACCATGGTAACTAAACTCTCCTTACCACACAACCAAAATGATTTCAACCACACTACCACACCTTCATAACAACCACATTCCCTCACAACCAAAATGACTCACCACACCACAACCACAATATCACACCTTAATAACAACCACAATACCACACCTTAATAACAACCACATTACCACACAACCAAAATGACTCGACCACAATACCACACCTTAATAACAACCACATTACCACTTAAAAAACAGTTGTTGGGCATCACTACATCAGAGGACAAAGCCGACTGCTGTTAGTACGATAAACAGAATTATTAATACCATGCGAACAAGAGGCGTAAGTACTGGTGAAGGGGCAGCCAGGAGGAGGAGAAGGAGGCGCTCTTCCAACAGTCAATACAGAACTGGAGGGTTCCTGTGGCCTTCCCTCCCACAATTCCTGACTCCCAGGCCCTGCCCTCATGGTTGCCAAGTATCATCTCTTTACCACTGACATGTTTTTCTTTGATTGTTTTCATAATAAGGTTTCATTTATTTCATAGCCTAAGTTTAGTATCATTTAACAAGTTGCATATGGATAATTAAGACATTAATGCTCTGTGTGGGATGTAAAGCCGAGATGTAGCAATACAATAGTCATCACTGTTGAGTTTTATATGTGGGGAGGAAGTTCCCAAGAGACTAGCCACAGCTCCACCCTCCAAGCTGTAAATAATGCTGGCACATCTATAATTATGCCTTAGTAAAATTCAGACTCAACACACCACACTGGCTTCACCACATATCATTTCACCCCACACTAATACACTACACTCTTCTGTTATTGTTTCCTCCAAGTGTGTGCTGTGCTCCCTTTCCATTAACACCAGGAAGTTCATTTATGTTCTGCCAATCATGAAAATGTTCACACCACCTCCAATAATAATAATAATAATAATAATAATAATAATAATAATACCCTGTAATAATAATATAATAAGAACAATTATTCAAGTAATATACCATTTCCTACATTCACTGACATATCCTAAGACTAATTCATGTTTATAAAAAAGCAAGAGACTATTACTTTGTGGGAAAAAAAAAGAAAAAAAAGCCATGGCTCAAATAACTTATTTTAATATAACTATTAAAAAGTAAAGCCATGTTAACATTATTATAGATGACGAGGTTTAAAGATCAATAATAAATAAATTACGTACTGTATACTGTACTAAAATCCCCAAAACTGTATTAAGAAAACACTAACCAAATTGCTTAAAATATTCATTGTACAGAAGACCAAAACTCACATTAATAACTAGTACTGGACTCTAATTATTATTACTGTATTGTTGTGCTTCAATTTTGTAGATAAATATTAGTGTTGAACTCCAATTTTGTATACCAGTTTATAATTAAGTACAGTACTGCTCGTCTTATTTGGAAAAGAAAAAATGAAAAAAAAAAGCATTCTTGGGAACCATTAAAAACCAGCAAACTTAGGCAATTAAATAAAAGTTTGCTGAATGTCTTCTTACCCAACTACAGTACATTGAGGTGAATAATATAAAGGAGGGAGAAATAAAAGCACGTTACGGGTGTGTCGAGGTTACCTTCCTCAATAATGATCGGTTAACATGCAATGGTAATGCTGCATTCCTCACCCAGACATGAGACCTATATAGCTCAGCAACACCAAGAAAAATCACTCCTAATCCATAATACTGTACAACTCTAGTCCACCATAACACAATCTTTGACCATTTTAACACAACACCTAACTAGAACCCACCATTAATCTCATTAACATAACATAACCCCTTTTCACTGAAACGTAACCCACTATTTGACCACCATAAAACACAACCCTTGTCCAAAATAGCATGACACCTGTTTGCCCCAACACATCCAAGGGCCGTTAGGGCCATTACAACACAACCTTTTATCATGATTACAACACAATCTATGGCCACTTGAAAACACACACAATCTATTATCACTACTGTAGCTTTGCCATACCATAACATGAAAATGATCTTCAGCTACAGTACCATACAAAAAGTACACCTCATCATGCCTAACAACTAATCCTTCAACCATCATAAGACCCTCAGCCACTACCAAAACACAACCATTCTCGTTACACTGCCACTGTCTCCTCGCCCTTCCCTCCCCAACATCATCACGCATTGGGATATTGATTCTGGACTTCGCCTCACAAACAAAATAATTACACGACAGAATAATCAATAGCAGACATTCTACTCGGACCCACTATCCAGTCCACAATTACCTCACATAACAGGTAACTGCCAATACCACGACACATTATTGAGACCTTGGCCGAGGCAGTCTGTTCTACAGAATGGAGCATTAACAGTGTTCTTTCATGTCATAAGTGACACTGTCATTGTATATGAGGAGTTTAAAACAAGTGTTTGTTGTTTGTCTTTCTGTCTCTCTTATAGCTGTCAATTTCCTATCATCAATTTCAACACCATTTAAATAGGGTTTTCAACTTCGGAAATAATTAATTTCAAAGAAGTACAGTATACAAACTTGAAGAGCAATACTTGAAGACAATAATAAATATAAATTATACTGTACAGTATGTACTGTACACCAAGAAAAGTGAGATTTGGTTCAATATATCCAGGGTACCAAGCTGTTAGGCAAATACAGTATAATGAAGTATAACTAAATTATAAATTAATAAACAAATAAAACTGGGCCAATGACACTCCCTCACAGGAGAACTGGATATGAACATAACTTTTTTATTTTTTTATGAAGAACTATGAACCAAGTCCATGGCTGTGACCTAGAACTTCATGCTGAATTCACTTTACAGTACAGTGGTCCCTCGGTTAACGAACACAATTCGTTCCACAGTCGTTCGTTAACCGAATCCATTGTTTCAATGGGATATTGGGTAATTGGTTCCAGCTCACAGAAAAGTACATACAAAGTAAAAAAAAAAATGCAGTAAAGTACACTTACTTTGAGGTGTGTATGTAGAAGGTTCCTGGTTGATGATGATGATGGGAATTAGAAGTGGAGGTGGAGGAGAAGGGAGAAGAGAAGGAAGTGGGGATGGAGGAGAAATCACCTTTCAGGAGACCCATGCTTGATGCCATCATTTCACCAATAAAATTTTACGTTCACTAGATGTAATTCAAGATTATTTTATTTAAATCAACACTGCACTGCACTATATATTATCAATATATTAACTAAATTTCAGAATGACCAATAATTTCGATGCAAAAATGCAAAAATATTCAAGACACCAACAAAATAGACTTTCACTCCACTGTCAACAAAGCCAAACTGACACCTGGTGGCCGAGTCAAGCGGCTGATGGGCGCACAAAAAACTAGTTCCCTGTACTGCATATATTATCAATATGTTAACTAAATTTTAAAATGACTTCAGTAATAATTTTAATATAAAAAATGAAAAAATATTAAAGAGCACAACTTTCTTGATATTTACTCCACTGGAAACGAATGTAAACATAGAACAGATTACTGAATTGGCAGACCAGCTGATGCTTACAACAAAACGTGTTGTTCGTAAGGATTTCGTTAATCTAAGTTTTGTTCGTTAAATGAATTGAAGATCCTTACGGGAGGTAATTCGTAAACCGAAATTTCGTTAATATAACCGTTCGTTAACCGAGGGACCACTGTACAATGTTTTCTCATTAAGGCAGTACATACTTATGAGAAGTTTCAATTGAATTCCTCTTTTCATTTAATATTTCCAGCCAGCATACAAAATATGAGACAGGAGGATGGTCTGACAAAAAAAGTGACTACCGGTATAAGTTCCTCCTCATATACCTGTACCATGAAGTAATTGTGACAGGCAATCCATTGATATGCACAATGCCTTTTGACCTGTGTCCTTCACCTTCTATTGCTGCTATTCCCTGCTGGCTCTTTCTCACATACACACACACATACACCTGCAGCAGTCGTATGCATGTTCAAGAGTATTCAATATTCCAGAAATAGTTGACTGTTATTGGGCAAGAAATATGTTGCCTACACAACTGCAATGCTCCTGGCTACAAGCAAGTGCTAGATTTGGTATATGGGATGGAGCTTCATTTGTTAAGACTCTTATGCCTAGATGAAAAGGAAAGACTTTTGTTAGCTTAAAATATCTACAACAGACTTTTTTTTGGCAAACATGGAATATAAAAGCGCTTGATATCTCCATCCCATACAAGCAGTTATCTAATCATTGATTTTAAAAATGATGAATGATCCTGAAATCCTGTGAGTCTGGATCAAGAACAACTGCAGTGTACTGTACAACCACCAATTATATAGGTTACATTATGTTAGAAGCAAGTCCAGTGGTGTAAAAAGAAAAAATGCCCACGCATACAGTGGTGGAGAAGGGTTCAATCCTCTGACTGTCTTCACTTTGGGACACCACTTTCAACATTTTAATTGGCTAATGCAGAAAGTCTGCTGAAATGCTATACAGATTACAGTACAGGGTATTTATTATGGTCAGGACTATTGTATGGGTCAGAAGTGTGGACACTTACAGCAGACACCAGCAAGAGGTTAGAGGCCACTGAAATGTGGTGTTATGGGAGAATGTTAAAAATAAGTTACACTGACACGAATACAAATGAAGTACTATTGTAAAATTGACAAAAAAATTATTTTAATTTATTATTTTAATGAAACAATATCAGAAATAATGTTAAATGTTGAGACAAATTAAGATTTATTTTGAACCAAGTTTTCAGAGATTTCATTTTACTGAAACAAAAATAAAAATAAGAAAACTTCAGAATAATGTTAAACATCAAGCCAAGGGCTTGTGATACCCACAGCGAGCAGGACGTCAATACCTCCCGGTGACAAGCGACTCAACCTTACAATAATCAATACACAAAAGTTTGCTTCTTTTCAATACTAGTTCATCATATAATCAATGCTACATTACTAATAATAGCTAATGTGATCTATAATATTTAAACTGGACAGACTAATTACCAGTGCGACTTAAAAAAAATAAATTAAATAACAAAAGTGTACAGATTATGCATAAGAGAAAAGGTGAAAATAATAAAAGAACATATTACTGGTTAATAGGTCTATTGAGTATGACTCGGTATGGTTTCAGAAAAGGAAATGAACACATGGCTCATATTTTTGTGTTAGTATGTAAAAAAAAAAAAAAAAAAAAACCCTAGTGTTTTTATAAAGTCACAGTTGTATTCCAGTTATCAGGTAAAACTTACCATAGTTGAAAGCATGATGCCTTAAGAAAGTAATAGTCCCACATTAACACCTAAGACTGTCACTGTAATAAATGGTATATAAAAACATACAAACCTGTTAGGACAAGTGAGTGAAAGCAGCCAGCAGCCACAGCTACAGCAGGAGCCTCCAGGTCCAGTACCTTAACTGGGAAAGTGTGGTCCTCCTTATCACCTGTTCCTAGTTGACCATCCCCATTATGGCCCCAGAGATACACTGCTCCAGATGCTGCCAACCACATAAAAAAGAAAATGGGGAAAAGTTTGAAGTGCATGAGTTACCCAAAAATCTGTATACATACATGATCACATTCAATGTTTCATTATAAACAAAGTCAAGTACAGTATGTGACTTGACTGTTCAACAATACAGTATACAGTTTAGTGCTTATTACTGTAGATCTGAAGTATATTCTCAAAAATCATATTGCCATCCAAGATATACAGTATTAACATTAATATATGCACGAATAGTGTTCATAATAAAATTTATCTCTAACAACAACCAAGATACCATGCACTGGAAAAAATATAAACAACATGAAAGACATTCATGCACACAAAACATATTTAGTAGTCTATAAAACATATTGTTTACTAAATAATACAACTGCACTGTACAGTATATGAAAAAAACATGGAAGTGGATTACACATAAAAAAAAAACATATTTAAAGGCACTAACTACAACATTGTATCTCCAGAAGATATCTGCCTCTACATGTACCAGTTAAGTTGACTCCCGCATTCACAGCAGGGTGACACACACACATCCTTCTTCTAACGTTTTGGTTATCATCCATCACTACGTTCTCATGTCAGAGATCCAACAGCAACAATAATAATAATAAACACCACTGAAGAATTGGTTATCACATGTGAAACAGCTGCCAACTGTGTATACTGTACTAGAAACAATATTGTGTGTGAAAAAAAAAGACATCTCATGTAGTATTCAAACAGAAAACAGAAATGGGGTTCAGGAATATCTAAAGAAAAAATCCGGTAAAGGAAGTGATGAAAGACAGAGAAATGGAACTGTGAACATTTCAGTGTGTAGGTACAGCTGCATGGTGAGTGTGACTCATCTGGAGGAGAAATGATAGCCTGGGACCTCATGACAGTGCTTCCATGGGTAAGTTAGGCTGATATATTGTACAGTACTACCCTACAATAATTAATACAGTAAGTAATTATCTACAGTACACTACAATCCTATGTTTACATCAATTTGTTGTCCTCAATTATTAGTTTAAGCCTATAAACATGCTAGCTTCAGCATCATGCAAATTAATAATTTTACAGAACCACAAATTAAGCAAATGTGTAATTCATACACTTTAAGAATACAAAGAGCTCCATATACTAAAATTATACTGAACCAAGAATTAAAAAAATAGATTAAAATCATCAGGGCATTTTACTGATTTAGAGCAAAATTTTATGAGCAAAATCTTTTATTTAGATTTTAAGACACAAACCTCATACTTCATGAAGGAACATTATGCAAAATTTCTGTAACAACAAAAAGACATGTTAAATGATAACTAATGTTTACCTCTTTTTTTGTCACCAATCAAACTGGTGTGTCACAAATAAATAATTACCAGTCAACAATACAGTATTCTTACTCAGTCACTCATATCTAGTTCCAAATATACAGTAGTAGAACCCCTCTAGTCTGCCGATTGATAATTCACAGAATGGCTAAGTTCTCCTGGATTTCACTTACAGTTACAGTCAAATCTGTACTGTATTAAATTTGCCAATATATAAAATATTTAGCATTTTCTAACAAACTCACATTAAAAAACTTTTCACTGGTAAAAGTATTTAATGAAAGAAACATTAAAAAACACAAAGGTTCAGTCAAGTGGTTGATAACCCTTTCCCTTAGCCGAGCCGTGGTATCCATAAGTGGTGTAGCATTCTGTCGAGGGAGTGTTCTCATTCGTCTAGGCCAGTATCACGTACTGTATATGTATTATGCCATCCATTAAAAATTACCTTAAAATGCAGTGCAGTACAGTAATTGGCAGTTAATTAAAGGTGCTTGTACTTTTGGATTTTAATGAAGACAAGGTAGAGCAGTGGTGTGTGACAAAGCAAAGATAAAATTTAAGCCAAACATCTAATTCCATTTTTCTTATTTTGTTACAAGCAGCACTGGGCTTACACATGTGGCTATAACTCTGTTCATTAGACAGGGGTTTACTTCCATTTTTACCTGCCTCATAATAGATTTAAGTCATGCACTGCACCAGTTCCTTGGTTGGTAAGTGCAAATTTTACTATTTTATTAATTTCTAACGTTGTAATTATTTTATAATACTTGTACAGTGTTTACGGTCTTTGAGTTCAAACATAATAATTACTGTATTACACATACACTCCTGGAACCAGATTTTAGGGGGTTCATAGTCCCAATGCCCATAGCACCTACATTACAAGTCACTCATACATTTGTAAAATTCGCATATTCACCAGACTGTCAGACCCAAAGTGTGTGAACTAGAGAGGTTCTACTGTAATTCCATTTTAACTACAGGTACTTAAAATTATGTAAGACACTTAATATAAAGTAATTAGCACTTCAGAGAAACATTTCATCTGTGCATCTTTGAAAACACAAAGACACTTAGTTCTGGTAATCTTTCTCTCGTGCTGTATGTACTAAATTTTCAAACCATCAAATTACCAGACACTGAAATAGTGTTTAACCCCTTAACTATGGGGACACCATTTTTAGTGTTTTATTTGGCTTATGCCAGATGATTTTATTCAGCACAGAGGGGATCCCATACAAAAGTGGTTAATAAGTTTGTGTACCCATATGCCTCTTAAAATATACACATCTCATGTTATACATTATACTGTCTACCATCATCTCCATGTACACCAAGAGACCAACAATGCTTGCAATACATTATGTTGCCAAGACAAATGCTGTTGAAATGTCTGAAAGTTGTGTCCCCATCTCCTCTCACTTTACATTTTCATACAACTATTTTTAATTAAAAAAAATAAATAAAATTTAAAAATCAAATTATATACTACAGTATATATAAATATATATATATATATATATATATATATATATATATATATATATATATATATATATATATATATATATATATATATATATATATATATATATATATATAAATATATATATATATATATATATATATATATAATCAAATTACATCCCCCCCTACATTTGCTTCAGGCCTCGGAGAACAGTATGAATGACAAGCAAAGAATTTGAGTAGTGGGTGGAAAAACCTACCATGATTACATGTCTGCTAACTGTTAACATTAAAAAAAATGTGCTTATAGTACGAGTGAACATGTAGTGCTAGTGTTGTAAATGGTTCACATTCCTATCCTCCTTAGGTTGGGATTGGAAGTAGCAAACCAGTTGTAAGCAAACGAGTAAATGGATGTGTCATGTAATTAGTCTGTTACCTACTGTGGTTGGGGCAAAGGGAAGAGATAAAAATCTTCTGAGGAAAAAACCATCAGAGTGCAGTGATCTTTCTGTCTTGATTGGCAACATCTGTATCATCAGGAAGGAAGCCCTTTCCTTAAAGAACTGAGGGTCCAAACATTGTACTTGTACTGTATGTTCTTGGAAGATACATGTCTAGTCAATGTGATCAACATGTTGTGAACTTGATCAAGCAGCCTCACATAATACAGAACTATTCTCCTGCTCCCGATTGTACAATGGGATTTCAAGATCAATCCATTATTTTGACTATTCAACTCAAGAATTCTCAAGTGTGGTGCATTACATTTTCCCATCTTTAATACCACCACAATGTATCATTCACTGACCATGTAAGAAACAATGTTACACCTTAGATATCCCAGCAAACAACATAATAAAACATAGAAAGCAAAATACAGTGCTGTCTGCACACAAACTTACAGTTCAACACTTACAAACTCCATTCAAATTTATGACAATGATATCAATAGTGCATCTAACAAAAAATTATTTATACAGTATTTTATTTTTAACAACCATCTTACTGCAACCCCAAAATTGCAATTACACAAATACTACAAAATCAACACAACAAACTCACCACATGAAACTATGGTGTGTGATCTTCCACAAGCTATGTGCAATGCTTTCTCTGGTTTAAGAGCTGAAAAATAGAAGATACATATTAAAATAATGTTATTATAAGTTTTTTTCTTATACAGTACCTGCCTGTCTAACCACAACATGTAAATATTAATATTACACATCTTATTTTGAACAGGTATTCCCACTTATCCAATGGAATAAGTAATTTTCTCTGAAACTTAACACTGCGAATGTGTTGCTTCAATACTCATTTACTTTAAATACTGTAATTCCAGAACATACTATGAGAAACATGTACTGTATCTGCTAAAATTACATATACCTGTACTTTAGTAGAAATTTGGAATACAATTAAAATCACTGTATGTGAATAGAATTTCTCTATAACAACAAATCTATATCAATGTTTCCTTATTGTGTCTTGAGGATACAACGTCTAAGAAAACAACAGTAACCTAAGGTTATACAGTACAGCAAGATGCAGGATTTCTGTAGATTCTGCTTGCATCATTTCGATAAAACATGGTTAACAAATTGAAGAAAATTTCTCAATAGAAATTGTTGTGCCTGTTTGACATACGAGTAATGTCATTTTTGCCACACTGAGCGCCAAAAAAACTTCAAACTGAACACCAGAAACTAAGCACTATGGCACAGATACTAACAGCTGAACGTTCAAAATGACAACACCACACTCCCAGCTGCACCTCAGTTGGAGAGCATAGAAAATATTCCCCTTGATTTTACACCAATCTTTCAAAAGACCCTTAACCATAAGTGAAAAAGTTCTGAAAATACCTGCAATTACAGTAGCTTTGCAGTATTTTTAATTAAGGTATCTTACCGCAATTCTTTTATTGCATGGTTACCAAAATTACAGTTTGTATGACAATTTTCCCATACTGTACTTGTACTGTACATTGAGAGAATTTGTCTAAATTTGCGAGAAAAGACAGGCTAGAAGGATTTTAAATAAACCAAAACATCAATAAAACTACCATATATACACATTTCCCCAACTGAAATCAGGACATTAGTCAACCAGCGGGCACTTTAAGCCAAGAATAATTGCTCTTACTCTTGCAATTCCTCTTAATTTAATATGTGCACCATTTACCAGGTTGTCAAAACACTCAGCAGCCACCATCCATATCCAAGAAAACTCAGTACTGTACATGTATTTAAGGCTGCCACTGAACCAAGAAATGGACTATACTTTGAAGATTTGGATGGCAAGCGTGCAATGACATAAAGCTGCACTGAGTGGTCTAATGATTCAGGTCAAGGCAATGGAAACAAGCTTATTTACTCGAGAAAATTTGCAAAATGATAAGAGAAGGGTACAAGAAACCCACCGAAATAATTTTTGGTTAATACAGGGATAGGAAACACAAGCCAATAAAAATCAGTGAAATTATATAATAAAACAAAAAGAACAAAGAAAATATTTAAATAGGCTTGTATGTAAGAAAAGAATCTATTCATATTATAGTAATAAAGACAAAAAAAAAAGTCAAATATAAAACTGAACATGTTTACATCAAATCCAATGTTATGTGACAGCTAAAAGTTGGCTAATTACCGTATCTTTACAGTACAAATAACAATACTAAAAATTATATGGACAAGCTCCCAGAACTCACACTTTACACAAGATGGTTTATTAACAGGTTTTGTAGAGCCGAGACCCAGTTGACCCATGCCATTACTACCAATCATAAATACACGCCCACTTTCTGTAAGTAGAATACAGTATTTCTTAAAGTAATTAAACACAGTAGAAACACAAATTTCACTCTAGTATTTCAATGATCGTAGATATATACAGGTGTTCCCTGATTTACAAAAGGGTTCCGTTCCTAAAAAGATTTTCATAAATCTTATCAAAATTTTCCCTAGACACTACTGTGTTTGTTAAAGCAGAGATATTGTATATTTCCATGAGAAAAAAGTCTTGCTAAAATATTTTATAATACAACAAAACATGTTTGTAATGACAATTTATGGTATACATAATGATTATAAACCTATAATAAACATAATAGAGTACCGGTATATGAAATTCAAATAGTTCAGTGTACAGTACAGTAATAATTTTATACCCGTACTTACAAGAAAACAGACGAAATTTGAAACAAATTGAACAATATGAAATGCCGAGCCAATATTTATGAGCCAATCAGTGGCGAAAGGGTAAAAGTAAATAAATATACTACTGTAGTAATACATTAATTTCCATTATATAATTTGGGTTAAATTCTCGTCCTAAATTCCCACTGCCTTGTTTACATGGTGCAAATGATGCTGTCAGTCAGTTGACTATAAGTACAGTATACTGTACCTCATTATTCCTGGAAAATTAGAACATACCTGTAATAACAAGGCATCACAACCACAACACATGTACAACACCCAAATCATACTTACAATAGCTATGCTACAGCTAAAACTAGTAAAACAATTAAATATAAGAAATCAGCTACGTAAAAACTTGAAGATTTCTACACAAACAAATGCCACAATTTCAAATGTGTCTATCAAAATCACTACAAACCTGTAATAACTGCAGTGTGTTCATCTCCACATGCCAGTTCGATGATCATATCATTTTTTATCCAAAATTTTGATGGCGCATTATCAGCAAACCTACTCTTGCCAAAAGTAAACACAGCCCCAGTATCTGCAGGAAAAAAATCAGTACAATAACATACAGTATTAAGCAAAATGTATTGCTCTGCACTTTTGTCAATTTCACGAGGTAAGAAAGCATTTATGATCTACTGTACAGTCCTCCAGTGGATGGTTAAGATAGATGATAAATGTGATTGCTGGTACTGTACAGAAGTGCCTCCTATTACTGTATCCTGAGTGTGAGCCCCAGCCCGGATCAGATGTGAGAAGGGTGTTATCAAGTGTGACCCGAGCAAACATCGCAGGTTTTCTCTGGGTACTCTGGTTTCTTCCTGAACTAAAACTGGACAATAAAAGTCAAAACAATAAACGGACTAACCACTCGATCGGCTATTAAGCTGATAAATGGTAGATGCCCCTAATGTGAAGCAGAATACAAAATTACTCCCTTTCTACACCTTTCCCAAATTTTTGAAGTTTATGATTGCATACATTCACTGAGCCATGGGGCAACTACTGAAGTATGCTAAGAACACTTATATATCATCTGTATAAGACTAGTTTAGCAGTGTACAACTTTGGTTCCATCACATATGTTTAACTCAATGAGAAAATTAAAACAATGTTACTTATTATATTCAATACAACACATTTATTTCACCATATATGATGATAATTGAGTATTACTGTCCAAAATATTGACTGTCATTTCTCCTGTTCCTCTTACAAGTATTTCTTGGAAGTCACCTCCATGCATTACTTACAAGTACATCACCGCTGAAAGTAGGGCAATCAATAACCAATTTCTTTATAAATACAGGTACATACATTCACATACAAATCACACAAATTACGATTCGAATTAAATGTGTAGAATGTACTGAAGTTTACGTAAAATTATTAAGTAATGTCAATGTAATACAAGCTTACACAGGGGTAATACTTGACAGGAGACGACCTCATACGAGAGTTCACACCACTAACTTATCTTCATTTTCCAATATCTGAAGACTGATACACCCTTTTATCGCTATTAGTCCATAAAGGGTAACTTTAACTTTCAACCAGTAACCACTTTACCAACAATCACAACGTAGGACACTAGAAAAACAGTAAAACTTCACCTGGGATGTCAAAGTCGTCGTCCACTGCCATTTTCAATCCAAACAATGCGGGCTGGAGAAGATCGATGAGCGCACACAGCTAATGATGGTGGCGGCCGGCGGGCGTTTAGGTATTTAAGTAATTATGTTTGAATTAAGATAATATTAAGTCAAAAAGATGAAGTAGTTTGAAGTTCCATGAAATCACGATTAATAGAAAAAGACTATCCTGACACCAATCTTGACAATCACATTAACGATGGACAGTGTACTCCTTTACTTATATATATATATATATATATATATATATATATATATATATATATATATATATATATATATATATATATATATATATATATATATATATATATATATTACTGCCTTATTGGCAATTTCATGCACCTGTGCGAGCTCACGTTTCTCAGTACTTTCACTAAAGGTTAAAATGGAATATGATGAGGTATGCTTTAGGTTCCGAAAGTCACTAACATTTCTATAGCGACCGGCCACACAGAAAATTTATGATAGTACCTTAAACCGCTTGCTCGAAACACAAGGGTCTTATATTTTAGGATGGCCGGATAATCCTTAACCAAGGCGATCATTATGTAATTAGGTGATCTTGCAATTTTTTTAATTAGTGCCTTGAACAGCTCACCAGCAGAGATGTGTTCTTGTAGATATCATTATTTTTCCCTATACCGACACAGCTGTGTTTCTTTTACATAGGTTTGTGTACACTATTATGAAGTATTTGAGAAGTTTTGTTTTTCGAAATTTTTAGCTGTTAAAATGTTTGGAGCTTAAACTGATGAGAAGAGAAATCCACACCGGTCTTAAAAATTATATAGTCTTGAATGTTGTTTACTATAGGCATCAGTAAATATTGCAGATCAACAATACAAGTGGACTCTTCTATATTATGAAGTCTGTCAGTGCACACTGCTGAAGCAATAAATGTAAGACTGTAGGCTAGGGAGACGCATCACGTCACAAATTCATCGATTGGCCGATAAGAGTAGAACCGGAATTTATTTATTTTTTTGTTACTTATTACTCTACCACAGTTATACTGTATATAAATACATTGTAAACATTAGGAGAACATATCAATATATCAGATAGTTTGCAATTAGTATTTTGACATTCCTTAAATACTGTAATTGTGAGGTGCTGTACTGTAGGTGACTCAAGTGGAATTCCACCTCAATAATTCTACGGTCAATGAACTCAAGGACCAAGAGTTGGATTCTGAAAGTTCGGACGTCTATTTTCAGATGTTCCTATACGTAGTCTTATATGGAATTCTGGGACTGAATTACTGAATCACCCACTGACAGATGTTTTTTATAATTCGTTACAAACTGTTATAACCTTCTAAATGTTTACTTAATTACAAAGAGTGATATGTTCAATGGACATTGATCCTCCCCCCCCCCCGTGTGCGTGCAAACTAGATACGGAATGCATCAAAGTATGGTTGGGAGAGGCTGGGTGAAACTGTGTATGAAATTATTGATAGAGATGTTGGAGTCCGTTGAGGAATTACGCCTGAGCTACTCCGTCTGTTAGAAATATATGGAAGTGAAGAGGACAACCATCATATAATTCCATCATAAATCCTCACATCATTCAGGTTAAGAAAGTATAATTTGGTTTAGGAGTTGTAAGATAATTGACAATAAGTCCATATAATTTTATTTTGTTCTAAAATTTACATGTATATTGTCAGTAACACCGAGTATAAAGCAATATATATCAAACAAGTATAAAAAAGATTATTATTTCCTGCCTGGAGAAGGTTCCCACAAAACACTGTACAGTACTACATATACCTAAGATACAGCGATTAATGTTATCTGTGCGGCAGAAATTTCTCCTTTGTGGCAATCACTCCGAGAAATGGCTATTTTTACTTAATGGTACTATGGGTAAGGTGTCTTGTCCAGCCTTCTTGGAGTGTTGGTTCATTGCATCTTGTTCAGCCTTCCTGTAGTGGTGTACGGAGGGTAGATGTGTTTTCCCAGCTTAAAAAAAATATTGTTTTACTTTATTCTCTGTTCCATCTACTGTATATTTCAGGGTTTGAAGTAATACATTCTTTTTTTTTCTCTCTCTCTGTCTCTCCCTTGCCATCTTTATTCTGATTTGATCCTGGGGACAGCCTTCATGTACACTCCCTTAGATGGGTTGAGGGTGACGGTGGGAATTTCGAAGGTGAGGGGGATAGGCGTCTCTCCGTAAGCCACCAACCTGCGACAGAAAGAGGCAGTGAGATAAGAGTAATAATAAGGTGGATAAAAAAGACAAAAGGAGGACCACACGTGAAAATTACCGGGCAACTTATGGTATAACAAGATAGTTTATACAAGGTAAATAATACAAAAACATTAATAACTTGTGACAGACCAGAGGATAATTTTCACAAAACAGAATACAACGTAATTACTGCAGGACAGCTTATAGCAGGACACTAACTACTACAGGACATAAACAAAGTGTAAGCGTACTTGTATCTCCTGATGACTCTAGCCACTGCGAGTTTTGCCTCGAGTTGGCCAAACCTGATGCCGGGGCAGTTCCTGGGTCCAGCGCCGAAAGGGAGGTACGCCATTGGGTGACGACTGACAGAGGCCTTGGCTTCCGGCGAGAATCTGTCAGAGTGAGACTTGTGGTGTTATGATGATTTTGTGATGATGACAGTAGGAATATGATGACGAAATGATGGTGAATGACGATACTTTCCCATTTCCAGAACAAATCCTTCCAAGTCTGTTCTAACCTAACCTAACCTAATGTAACCTGAGTTTACCTAACTTTTTCAGAAATATTTAACGTCACTAGTATCGTGGTGGTGACCTCAGCAGTAACAGGGATTGTCACTCACCTTTCTGGGTCAAAAGTCTCAGCGTCAGGCCAGTGTTCAGGGTCACGGTGGATGTGCCAGAGAGGGATCTGGATACTCATGTTCTTAGGGATTAACAGATCACCCAGCTGACCGGGGAGAATGATAATTCAGTATTATTGATAGTGATAAGATAAATAATATTATCAATAATATTGGCAACAACAATACAAGTAATAAATAATTATATCTTGATATTCTTGCTAGTTCATAAGCAATCACAGAGCTCACTAAATCCATCTCTCCTTTCAGCTATAACTGATGGCTCTTCAACAGAGACAAAACAAATAACAAGATTTATGTCTTTTTCATCTACTGACAATTGTCTTTTATCGTTCTTCGCTAATCTCTTCATGTTCACTAAATGTTTGACATGCCAATTTGCTGTATGCACTTTTTGGCATTTTACGTAAAAGTCAATAACACAGGAGCGAGGGCTTAGCAACACAAGAAGAGCTTCGTTGGTCATGGTACAGCCACACCTACGAATTCAGTGGTGGCGGCGGGGAAACTCACCTGGATGTCTTGAGCAGCCTCCCTGCTGACGAAGTTGACAGCCGGAGGGTAGAGCCTGAGGGCTTCACAGAATACCTGGTCCAGGTACTTGAGGCTGTGCACCTGCTCGTAGCTCAGCTCCTCAGGGCTATCCTAAAGAAACATTGAATATTGTCGCTTTATATTGGCTTTCATGTGTACCTATCTGAAATAAATGTTTTCTGTGCTGGTTTCTTTAAAGAAATATCCACTTTTCCTTCCTTAAAGTATTTTACTACAAAGCAGTTAGTCTATATCTATATGACTGTCAAAACCTTTTATGATATTCAGTCAGTGTGTCGCTGACCATCTACGGTTTATAATTATTAGCCTTAGATGGTCGGCAAACACGTTATAAGTTATGAACATCATACAGTTTGCTAGCCTCCCACTTTCAGGTCATCGTACCTTCATCATACATATGTTCTCACAAACTGCACAAATATCCATCTTACTCTTTCATTATTAACGAAGTTTGCCCTCACAGTTTTTTGGACTTGAGGCTTCTTCAATCCTGAGCTGTGACCTTAACTATAGTCGACTGATCACTCATATTATTTCCTGAATAGCGGATGTAATATACTGTATATTACATCCGCTATTCAGGAAATAATATGAGTGATCAGTCGACTATAGTTAAGGTCACAGCTCAGGATTGAAGAAGCCGCAAGTCCAAAAAACTGTGAGGGCAAACTTTTTCGGAGTGAGAGTTGTGAACTCTTGGAACAATCTACCAGAAAGTGTTGTGACGGCACCGAGTGTGAGCTCTTTCAAGACCAGATTTGACCAACACTGGAGCAGGTTCAGGTACATTCAGGAGCCGGTGCATGCCCAGTACTTGCTAACAGTGCGGAACAGAGACGTGACCGATCGCCCAAGCGGCTAACGACCCGATCATTTGGTGAAGAGGATAAAAGAAAAGGAAAAGTGATCAGAGACGTGACCGATCGCCCAGGCGGCTAAAGAGCCGATCAGTGGTGAAGAGGATAAAAGAGAAAAAGAGTTAAAGATAATTTTCCGTAGCTTTTCGGGTCGGCACCATTTTCCTGAACATGATATGAAATAGCTTTTGATTTCACTGTTTCAAAGCAGAATAAAAAGGACATCGTCATCTTCCTGGATAATTACCAAAAAGAATTGTTTCCGGAGTGCGTAAAGAATTAATACTCAGGAGTAACGTTTATTTTCATGTATATTGTTGGTCATCTGCGGCCTTCTGGCATAAAAGTTGGGATCGTGTGGTAGGTTCTTTTAGGTGAGAAAGGTGGAAACAGGGAATTTTCCTTTTTAACTAACGCCTGACATCTCTCCACTCTAAATTTCCACATCACCCTATAGTGTCCACACATTTTTGTCTTTCGTCCTGCTTAACAACGGGTATTATTCAAAACTGAACTCCACTCGTCTTGCCTACTACGCTACACTCAGTACATCACATAAATAATCTCACCTGCAAGACGTCACACAGTTCCTGGTAGACGCGTTCCTGCACCTCTGGATGAGTACCCAGTAGGTAGCTCGTGTAGGTCACGGAGTTGGCAGTGGTTTCGAAGCCACCCAGCAGGAAGACCCAGGCATTGGCGATAATCTCTTCGTCAGTCAGAAACCTTTTCTGGCGATTTTCCTTCCAAGTGTTTGACGTATTGCTGGAGGAGTCCTCAACCGTTTCCTCGCCTGAGTGGTCAGGCTGCGACTCTGCAGCGTCCAGCATCAGCTGTAAGACATCGAGGTATTTTGTTCCCGTATACTGTCGTCGGATGGCGATGACAGCCTTTAGGTGTTTGATGATCATCTGTGTCAATCTACCAGAGTAGGCGAGCCTGTTGCTTACGAAGCTCAAGAACTTGGCAAACATCTTAAAGTATAGTGCTAGGAGAATGGCTGGGTTGACGGCATTCTTTAGGAACTGACGAACTGCCAGAAAGAAATCCTCTCCTTCTTGGTCACGCTGACAGTGAGTCTTAAGGGCAAGTGCACACTGACTGATCACATCCAGCGTCATCCCCTGGAAGGTCGTGTGCCATTCTATTGGCTTGTCTTGTTCAACCTTTTTAGCGACAATTGACAACAGCTCATCGACTTTCTCGTTCATGATGCTAGCCATGAACTTCATCTTCATCACAGAAAATGTAGGAGCGAGAACAGAGCGAACGTCTTTCCATCGCTGGTCTCTGAGGCCAACGAGACAATCTACGACTGGTTGGGCGTCAATCACTAGTGTGGGTCTGTTGGAAAAGTTTTGAAACTCTTTCACGAGTATTTGTTTGACGAGGTCCAAGTCGGCCACGACCAAATTTGGTTGCCAACCAACGTAGAAGCCAAAAACTTTGCCATACTTCTTTAGCCACTGGCCTACGAGATCAGTAGCGAGAGCTCCGGGCGCCCGTAGGACGTGGTTACTGCCGTAGATAATGTGCGGTTGCACGTACGGGATACCAAGCCTAGCGAAGACGGAGTGCTGACGGCGACGCTGCTTCACCCACGAAGCTATGTACAACAGGAGGGTGGCGGCCAGCAAAGTCCAGGCGTGGCTCACCAGCCATCTTATCACCCACACTAGCACCCCTACAATACTCATTATCCACTTTTAGTGTGCTACCAGGCAACTAACTCTCTAGGAAGGCCATAAGGAAAAGGCCTCGCAAGGGATGCCTAATATTGAGACTGTTGTTCTTCTTCCATAAATCTTGGTACGAGTCTTCAGATTATTAGAGGCGATAACGCAAAAAGATTCCCGTCACAGGTCACCAGTTCCTCTTCCCACGGGGCGGGATATCTGATGACAAGATTAAATTAATTTACTATTGTTATTTTCGATTATACAAATAAAAAAACAAATCGGAAGATGAAGGGCAGATTCGTAAGATACAAGGAAAAACACTAGAAACCCTATATTTTGTCAGTAATTCCGTGTCTAGTCTTTACCAAATCATTCCCCAGACATCTACCCTGATCAACAGAAGGATGTCAACTAGTCCACTTTCAACAGGTAACACTTCACATGTTATGATACTTGTGTTCACACTGACTTTTAGATTTATTATTTCTACAGTCCCCATAGTCACATTGTCAGTGAACGTAGTCACCAACAAAAGTCCTGCTGTCGTCTATCCTCCTGAACCACAAACCCCGCAATTCAGACTCGTGAATCCGAAGCATTTATTGACAGAATAATGCACCATTGTCTAGGAATACACACAGCAATATTGGATAATTTTAGAGTACAAATAATGACTGAAAAATAAAGAATATTAGTCTTTCTGTAAGTAGTCTAAAACAATAATAAAATATAAGCTATCATAAACTTACCATTAAAGGTAAAATGTATCTAATATACAACAAAGTTAATCAAATTTGCCATTGCAAGTGGGTCCCATATAGGCCTAACGACCTGTTAGGGGCAATGCGGATATAGCACACTTTGCACCAAACTTTCAATACACTTGGAGGCAGCACACTACCTCCTCCTTTCGGAAAGGTGGTGTAAAATGGGCGGACAAGGTAGCCAAGCAGGGTAGACTGTTGAGGCAAGACCTAATGCGAACCTAGTCCATGAACCCACTGCACCTACGGCCATACTGCCTAGTGACATATCAGTAAGGAGCTGACCGTGTACCTTATCTTCTGCCCTCCTTCACACACATAAACACGGCCATCGATACACTATATTACATATACACTCATTACATAAACTTGTGTTATGGTGGATGCCTCTGTTACTGAAAGGACGTAATTTCACTTTCTTGAAATACAAAATAGGAGATATTGCTCATTAATCCTCAACAAACAACGACGTGTTTTATTACAGAACTAAAGAAAATGCAAGGATAAGGGAGAAAATGGATCAAAATGAAATAAATTACCACTTGTTACATCACCAATTTTGCACAGTGATTTCAGCTCGTTTAACATAAGTCCCGAATTAGTTGACAGCTGGCAGCAAGCTGGGCTGTTGCCGAACGAATGTCGCAGTAAAGAAAAAATATATATTTGAAGGGTGTGAGATTACAATTTTTTGTAAGAATTGCACTGGATAATTAGCATATTACTAAATAGAGACATATGCTGTTGACATGAAAAGTAAAGCACCTAATGGTGCACACTAGGCATACTTATTTATACTGGCCAGTCTCAAGTTAAACTCCCAGTAAGGTTTGTCTCGTCACTCCCCGCGTTTGTGTTAAGAGCATCTTGAGGATGAAAAATATGGTCTACTTATCTGCTTTGCCTCTTGTCAGCTCACAAGCCGATCGAGCAGTCAGTTGTCTTTTATGCACTATTATACACTGGACATGCAAGGGCGCCGAACTGTACTTGAACATGTGCCAATGTTTTTCACGCCTCGACTTTCAGGAGCTCACACTTGGTGCTGTCACGTCATTTGTAAGTTAATAACAACGAAAATGACTAGGGGCGATTTTATATTTTGAATCATAATGTAAATAAGGGAAACGATGCACCTGATGATTATATAATGACGATAACGGTGATTGGTATTAAAATAATAATGGTGTGATAGTTTCCATAATTATTTTACATGCGGATTACAATAAAATATATGAATTTAATTTTGAAACTATGAGGTGGAGGTGTCCTTTGGCATAATCGAAATTCAAGCTCACATCTTACTTTATGTAAATATTGCTGACACACCTTTATCAATCAATGAAGGACAAAAGAAAAATTAATATTAACTAATTGCAACGTATGGAATATCTTTATCATATAAGAACAACAAAAATTACCTCATCAGCAGTAGCAGCACCTGTATCAGTAGAAGCAGATGAATCAGCAGTTGCACTCTGGATGCAGTATAGCAACAGCAGTAGCAGGGGGAGGAAGAAAAGATGAAGCAATAAGAGGGCTGTGGAGGAGATAGGGACTCCTCACATCACCCTCAGATAACGATAGTACTATCAAAGGTGATGGGTGGGGCAGAGCTCAGGGCCATTGGAGACGTTTCTCCATAACACGCACTATATTTCTCCCATCTTCAGATACAGTTCACCTGACCACAGGTGAAGGTCCAAGAAAATGTTCATATCCAGAAACCAGCGTTTGTGGGAAAAAAATCGGTTTTAACATTTAACTAAATCAATCTAGTCATTGTGTGTAGTATTGCCAGAGATTCTAAAATGAGTCTGCAGATAATCATTGGTCATGACCTAGTATGGAGGAAAAAATGCATTACTGGTTTATCGCCACGTTAGTGCGAGCCCGTGTATAAAGTCGATGACGGTACTGAATGACGTATCAATCTCGACTCTACAGCAAGCACCCTTGTCTGTAGCAAGTGGTGTATCTTATAATATGTATCATAATGATATTCGATAAAGACACGTACAGTGCTTAATCACAGACTTCAGTAATGAGGTTTACTGCTGCTTATAATGTCTATACTATCTCTACTCTGTTTACTGATGCCCCTTAGCTTTCCATTGGTGATTGTTTTCCTTCTTTTAGACCTCCCTGAGCAATTGAGTGGGCTTTTTTTTTCGGGGAGTAATAGCGCTGGCCCATATTATAGCAGGACTCTCCAAGAGGATGGTCATAACTGTATGAGGCAGACTTCTGTGCAACAATCTAGGCGTTGCGGTGGAAGGGTGGGGTGGGGTGGGGAGGGGGTTGGTTGAACCCTTTCACAGTGGTGTTGGTGCCTATCCAGCAAAATTTGTAGTTTCATTCTAAATGATACACCCTAGGATCATCGTATACCATATATTCAGCGTGATAATTTATCTAATTTTACACGTACAAGTTAGTTTCTTCTGCATTGGCTGATCTACTGTACACCAAGAAACTATCCGTTTACTTTCATCTTGTATGGACCTTTGCAAAAATTGTCACAACTTTGTTATGATCAGTCTTATTATCACAGTGGATGTGGCTGAGACTTGGCATGAAAGTCTGCATTCTGTCATGCTGACACTGAAGGTGGGAAGCTGGAGCAAAATGTGTCCAGATCACTCACATTCACAGTATGTAAATGGAACTCTGCAAGCTATATGCATGTCTAAAGATGCTTTGAAATGCAATGGTCTTGCATGCCTGGTTTTACTATATGTGCACATGAAGAGAGCTGCCCAATAGGTATCCTGAGGAAGTAGTCCCAGTACTGCTTCCAACTTAACAACTGGTGGGAGAACTCGGGGGTAGGGAGATAATTTTTGTCAACATCAAAGGCAGCGGTAAAATCATGCTCTTTTACTGCCTGGCAGATGGTATTTGGCACCACCAGCCCCATATGATGTTTGCATATGAACGTGCTAGTTATGCAATAAAATAACAACACATCACAGGGACGGATCCAGGAATATCAAAGAAGGGGGAGGTCCGAGAAGTTGTGGAACATGGCGAGCACTGTAAGCCCACCAAGCTGGGATTTTTTTGGGGGCCACTGTGAGCCCCCAGAAATATTTTTGAAATGTAACCAATATCATGGGCATTTTAAGGCCATTTTGAAGCCCTGTGCACTTGATATTAGGAGATATTATATACTGAAGTCAATAGTAATTACTTTTTATTATACAAAAATGCCTGAGTACAATACTGTACTGCATTAAAAAAGTATTGGAATTTTCTGGTGAAAAGGGGGGTCCGGACCCCAGGAACCCCCCCCCCCCACCCCGGATCCGTCCCTGCATCAAAGGAATCCCCATTTCCTTTATCTTATGTGAAAAAGGAGATACAGTCTATCACTAGTCTCAATCTATATAGTATATAAAAGTGGAAAAGGTTATGCTTGCATCAACAATAGATTACCTGTAAACTTATCTAACTGTAAGATGATGATTATGTCGAAGGCAACACTGACTCTTTAGGGCTGCTCCTCAACATGTGGCATGTGTAGTGTTCCTCAACATGTGGCATGTGTAGTGTTCCTCAACATGTGGCATGTGTAGTGTTCCTCAACATGTGGCATGTGTAGTGTTCCTCAACATGTGGCATGTGTAGTGTTCCTCAACATGTGGCATGTGTAGTGTTCCTCAACATATGGCATGTGTAGTGTTCCTCAACATGTGGCATGTGTAGTGTTCTCAACATGTGGCATGTGTAGTGTTCCAACATGTGGCTCAACATGTGGCATGTGTAGTGTTCCTCAACATGTGGTGTGTATGTGTAGTCCTCAACATCATGTGTGTAGTGTTCTCAACATGTGGCAACATGTGTGTGTAGTGTTCCTCAACATGGCATGTGTAGTGTTCTCAACATATGTGTGTAGTGTTCCTCAACATGTGGCATGTGTAGTGTTCTCAACATGTGGCATGTGTAGTGTTCCTCAACATATGGCATGTGTAGTGTTCCTCAACATGTGGCATGTGTAGTGTTCCTCAACATGTGGCATGTGTAGTGTTCTCAACATATGGCATGTGTAGTGTTCCTCAACATGTGGCATGTGTAGTGTTCCTCAACATGTGGCATGTGTAGTGTTCCTCAACATATGGCATGTGTAGTGTTCCTCAACATGTGGCATGTGTAGTGTTCCTCAACATGGCATGTGTAGTGTTCTCAACATGTGGCATGTGTAGTGTTCCTCAACATGTGGCATGTGTAGTGTTCCTCAACATATGGCATGTGTAGTGTTCCTCAACATGTGGCATGTGTAGTGTTCCTCAACATATGGCATGTGTAGTGTTCCTCAACATGTGGCATGTATAGTGTTCCTCAACATGTGGCATGTGTAGTGCTACCTATCCTTAACAGTGACAAGTGTAGTGCTTCTCAACAGATGTGGTATGTGTAATGCTCTTTAACATATGTAACAGGTGTAGTGCTCCTCAACATATGTAGCAGGTGTAGTACTCCTCAACATAATTATGTGGCAGGTGTAGTACTCCTCAACATAATTATGTGGCAGGTGTAGTGCTCCTCAACATATGTGGCAGATGTAGTGCTCAACATATGTGGCAGGTGTAGTGCTCCTCAACATATGTGGCAGATGTAGTGCTCCTCAACATATGTGGCAGATGTAGTGCTCCTCAACATATGTGGCAGATGTAGTGCTCCTCAACATGTGGCAGGTGTAGTGCTCCTCAACATAATGTGGCAGAACTCCGTTCCTCTGTTAAGGAGCACTACACCAGCCATGTATGTTAAGAAGCACTACACCAGATACACTGAGTGTGAATTAATTTAAGACCAGACTTTACCAACTTGCCAACAGTAAGTAACAGACGAGCCGATCAGTGGCTCGTTAGCCGCTTGGGCGGTCGGTCACGTCTCTGTTACACACTGTTAGAATGTACTGGCTCCAGAATGTACCTGAACCTGCTCCAGTGCTGGTCAAGTCTGGTCTTGAAAGATCTCACACTCGGTGTCGTCACAACACTCTCAGGCAGGTTGTTCCAGGAGTTCACAATTCTCACTACAAAAAAGTTTACCCTCACAGTTTTCTGGACTTGAGGCTTCTTCAACCTTGAGCTGTGACCCCTGATGGGGACAAAAAACAATTACCAAATTGTTAAAAATTCCTCAAATACCTGTCTGTATCAAATTTTCTGAGAGTAAATTACATATCTCACACAAACAGACACAGAGCTGTATTTATTTTTGCAAACATAACTACCGTATAAGCATACAATACAGTACAGTGTAAAAAAAAAAAATATATAGTGTATACTGTACACTAATGTACTCACCAGCAGATGCTGTCATCTTGAGCTTGTGATGCAGGCAGGCCAAATGGTGATATGATGATACAGGATGGCCTGCCTTTGTCCTGTACCATCTACTGTAGCAGGTGTTACTGTCACTCTCCTCTCCCACCATGACAGAGAGATTGTACATGCACTGTACACAAACAGTAAGAATACATTGTCCACTCTCATATGTACAGTACTTTCACACTTACAGGCACTGAATGTACAGTACAGTACCCTGTATACATAACAGTGATAACTTTTTACATTTTAACACTGTATTCTTGGCTGATTGTGTCCTGGTACAGAAATGTACAGTACTGCACAACACAAATTTTATGCATAAACAGTAGCGAGTGACGGAATAACCTTGTACAATGGCAGCAGTGTGTGAACTAAGCATGTGAGCCGAAGTTACCCAAGAAGCTAGCCCACCCATCTGCGGACCGTAGGAGCGTGATGCAATCACTCAGAACTCCCGCAAAAAAATTTCCCAGGCTCGGAACAAAGATTTTCCCATGAATTTCCCAGAAATTTCAAAATTTATTCCAGTTATTGGAGAGTTCCCGGGACTGGAGACTCCAGCTAATGGGGAGATTACTTAATTATCACTTTCGTATACCTATCTACAATCAAAACAAATCTTGGTGCTTTTGTTAAAATTAAATCTACTTCATTTCTAGTGATATGTCATTACAGTTTCTCCAATATCTTACAAAAGTTTAGATGTATACCCTACATAAATATTATTAGTGTTGGCATAACTTCACATGCACTAGTTGTAGGTTATGTGAAAAAAAATTGTGTGTGTTGTGATGGCATCCAATGTAAGCTCATTCAAAACCAGACTTGACCATTTTGGAACCAGTGCATACCCAGTTCAGTACTTGCCAACAGTGTGTAACAGAGATGTGACCGACCACCTGAGGGGCTAGCCAGCTGATCTATGGCAAAGAGGATAAAAGCAAAAATAGTAAACACCACTGATGTTAACATCAATCACATGTAAGATTTGTATGATATGTTAAGAAAATATATTTTAAAAGTAAGGTTTCATTAATATCAAATGCAACAACAATTTGAACAAATGCTAACACATAAAGGGAAATTGCCCATCATCAACAATCGTAGCTTTAATGTTACCAAAATACAAATGTTATAATGTATGTATCTTACAATTACAGTACTGTAATTCAGTCTACTACATTTTTGGGGTTCTCCCCCCCCAAAAAATTGTATTTTACAAAACATGGAACCTTACGATAATATTATTATACATCACAGTAAAAACCCAGGTAATTTGTACCCCTCAATGTTTTTCTGTTACAAAATATATACAAGTACTGTATTACAAATTTCATAATACTGTACTGTATTTGGTAAAATTAGAAATATGGGAGACATTTAAAAAAATTACAAAAAAATCAAAATTTTTGTAATATTGGGTATAATTTTGGATTATGAGATATATTTATGAATATACTGTATATGATGCACACATCACCGTGGAATGTGATTGCCCACTTTAGTTGGTCATTTGTGAAGTGCACATCTACAGTCAGCTGTGCAAACTTTTTCCACTTATTTTTCTGTCATTGCCCAGTGTTTTGTTTTCCCCCCCAGGAGAAGGTGTCCCTCATATTTTGGAAAATCTCATACAGTAATTCGTAAGGGCTACAGCCCCTATTGTTTTGAATTATGGGAGTTTTACCATCCTATTATTCAGTGTAAAAACGTTCCCTTTGTTAAATGCTTAAAGTTTACTGCCTATGGAATCCATGAGCATTGTGTTCAGAAACTTGTGGTCCCTTAAAGAGAGTTGTGAAGGTGAATAAATTTCCCCAAAATTTTTGTACTTGACATTGTGAAAGTAAGAAAAATGTGTTGTTGACTTATTATATAATGTTAAGAAATAATACACCTGTACAGTATATTAAATAATTTTCTGATTTTTTAGCTAGATTACTTGTTAGAGGTGAATATGTGATTCAGATTATATAAAAAATAAACTAGAAAGATATGCTTGCAAGCCTGTCTGGGCTATGTCATCTTGATCTACAGTTACTCAGTCCAGGATCTTACTGCACTCAATATTACCATTAGTCTAAGAATGTCTGCGCGTGTTTTCTAGATTTTCAAACTATGCCAGGCGCTTTATCACTTTCATCTGCTTTACACATACATTTATTTTAACATGCTACAGTAATAGGGAAACAGATTCAGATGAATGAACTACTGTACTGGCTTAAAGCACAGTACAGTATTCACTTATCTTCATCTGCTTCTTGCAAAGAGAATGAATGTGCATGTATTTTTATAAGTGTTATCTGTAATAATATGCCATGCAATATTGAACACTGATAGCTCCAACTTTGGCTAGGGTGAATTGCTCACTTTACCTAAGCCCCACTATAGTACATAGAGTCCATAAGCTTTCTATTAATGTATCAGCTAGGTTCTCCTGCAGTTGCAACATGTTAGCTAAGAAACATTAAATAAATACATTTGGTTAATTCGTATTCAGTACTATGGGTAATTCAAACGGCCGTAAATTAGCAAGGTTCGAGTGTACTGTATATAGATACCTATGCAGGATTTGTTCTTGGAAGAATGGGAAAGAGGAACATCCAGATCGTAATAACAATCCTTTTGGTTCATTAAGTCGAGTACAGTATACGAACAAAAATATATCAGAATAACGTGGGTGTGGACTCCCTTGGCACAGCCTTGATGTACACCTTGCAGTCTGGGTTGATGGTCACAGTGCAGATCTTGAAAGTAAGTGATGTAGGGGTATCCTCACACACCTCCAACCTGAGGGGAAAAAGACATGATAGAAAGTCTAGCAATAACATGGTTGCAAAGAAAATAGTAATGAATGAATAGATGGAAAGTTGATTACTGTAAGCCACCTATCATAGGCAGGGCACTGATATTTGCATCAAGTGTGAACTCATTCAAGACCAGGCTTGATCAACACTGTACAGTCAACCCTCGCTTTACTCGGTCCCACATTCCGCGTTTCCACGTTTACGCGGTACCCTGCCGAAACCGGAATGCTCACATTCCGCGGTGCGTGTACCCCTTTATGCGGAGAGCGGCTGGCAAGCCGCGCCATTTTTTGACCCAAACCTCCCGCCATCCGCCATGTTGTGTAAGCGGCGTGAGCAGGGTGCGCACAAGGTCGCCCAGTCATCAAAACATTACCGAGTTCTTCACCCGCTACCCACCACAGCCGGCCCAAGTCAGTGATAGTGATAATTATAGTGAGGATATGTACTTATATGGACTTTGAGGGGTTTGACAAAGAGGCCCTGCAAGCCTCTGTGGTGGATAGTGATACAATTGATACAAGTGATACAGGTGAGGGCCAATAATCTGCCCTCTGCCTCGGAACCAACCCCCCATCCCCGTGTGCCCAGCCATCTTTTCTACTAATGTAAGTGTTAAAAAACCTAATATTATTGATATTTCTCTTAATTATTAATTGTGTGTGTATACCACCATAAAATTAAGAAGTTTTTTTACTACAACGTCGGTATTGTGTCTGAAAAAGTGGAGTTTGGGGGTCGGCCCGGTCTCTATTTCAATTAATCCCATATGTTATGTTGTTCACTTTACGCATTTCTCACTTTCTGCGGTACCCTGTGGGTTGAATTAACCGCGTAAAGTGAGGGTTGACTGTATATGCCTAGTATTGGCTAGGAGTGTCTGAAAAGGTAAGAGTAAAAGCATGTGTGGTTGGACTGTTGAGCGATTCAGTGTATTGTGATGGAATATAAGGAGGAACACTCAGAATAAAATGGAGGAATGAAAGATGGGTTCTTGTTAGTGTTTACATGACAGGGACTGAGAAACAAGAGAGATTTGGGGAAGACTTGAATAACTGAATGAAAAACTTCTGTGAGAGAGGTAGTGATAAATGTGAAAGTGGCTAATGGGGAGGTGATGGAATTTTTATAAATATGGCGAGTAAGGAATGAATGGGAATGGAGAGATTGGTAGAATGTGAATTTAGAGGGGAGAAAACATGGAGTGTGAATATATTACATCTACTGTATTCACATCACTCATTAAGTTGATTCCTTATGAAGACATCCATCTTCATTCACACTTTCCACTTTATTATGCATAAATATAAAAACCTACGAGAACTTCAGGAATACATGAAGAGAACGAAGGCTTGGTTTACCCAGTGAATTCTCTTTCAATAGGGCTAAGTGAAAGTATACACCATTTGGCCTGAGACTATCAGAGAAAATATATAATCAGAGCATTCTGATATTTACAGGGCTGAAGTTTGAATGGCAAATACAGACAATATGTAATAGGACCTTTTGCCACATGGACAAGCAAAGTTTCATGTCCCAGTACAGAACATTTGTACACCCCTACCTGGAAAATAGTGGTCGCCTTAACTGAAATTAGAAAAGAAGGTCCTTAAAAGTGTACAGTGGTGTGCCACTAGCCTGGTCTTCTCTTAGGGGTCTGCCTTATGAAGAACATTTCCAACTAGTACTTAACATCCCCAAGTTGACAGACAGAAGACTTATATAGTGACAAGACTGAGATGTTTAAGAATTTTAACAACCTAAGAAGAATAAAAGGGCAAAACAAAATTTCACTTCACAGCAAACACAGACCAGGGGAGATACTTGTATCCACAACAAGCCAAGACCCGTGTTATTAATTCAAGAACTAGAAAGTTAAAAGGTAATTTTATTCTCGCATGAGTGGTAGAACAAGTGGAGGGAACAATATATGTATACAGGTATACTGTATTGAGATAATTAATGGATACCTGTGTGTTTTATTAGCAAGTCATAACATGGTAAATTACAGTAAGGAAACTACTGTATCAGACAACATACCTAAAGATTTTGACTATCCTGGCGAGTGTTAGTTTAGCCTCCAGCTGTGCAAACCTCATGCCAGGACAATTCCTGGGACCTGCACCGAATGGTAAGTAGGCCATAGGGTGACGTGATTCTCCTGCTTTGGCATCTGGAGAAAATCTGTGGGCATCATGATGTAGTTAGGAACAAGAAAACAGCTTTCTACCAATATTTATTCACAACCAAAAGCAGACTGTACAGTACTGTATTTGAAAATGGCTATCAAAATAGTTTAACAAACTGGTAAAAAAAAAGGTAATTAATAAAATGTTGCATCCTCTGTTTGTCAATTGATGGTCATACATTTTTTCAATACACATCCATGAACTAATGAACCCAGCATTTTTGCCTTTTATTACCCAACACCTGCCTCCTGCCTTGAAACTACCATTTTTTTTTTTTGCGGGGAATAGCGCGCCCGGGCACAGGTTATCGACCCACAACGGGGCCCACAAGAGTAAAATGAAATTAAAAATAGAAAAGAAAAAGATTACAGTACAGTACCGTATATTAATCTATACCATGAAAATGCCGGAAAACCAGCCTTTTGAAGTGAAACAGATTGTATGAGTATGAGGAAACACAAAAGAAGGCAGAGCATTCCACAGTTTGGCTGTGTGAGGAAAGAAGGATGTACTATAACGGGTTATTCTAGTGTGACCAACATCCACAGGGAAACGGTGAGCACCGCGGACAAGACGAGTGTTATGAGCTTACGGCCTTGCTGGCAGTACACAGGATGCCAAATCCACCGAACATTGCCTGTTAAAGTACCTGTAAAAGAGAGACAGTGAAGCAACATCGCAGCAAAGAGAAAGGGAAGAAAGATTATCAACTAAAGGAGGAGAGTTAATAAGACGAAATGCCTTTGATTCCACCCTATCTAACAGTTGGACAGAAGAAGAGCCACCCCAGATATGAGAGCAGTACTCCAAGTTAGGACGAATGAATGCCTTATATACTTGAAGCAACTGCTCAGGAGTGAAGTACCAGCATTCCCAGCTGGTCAGGCTCACCAGTCTATAGTTGCTCGTGGAGTGACAATCGCCCTTCTTGAAGATAGGACTCACATAAGCCACTTTCCATTCACTGGGGACCTTTTGTTCATCCAGGCATTTACAAAACAGGATCTTCAGGGGTTGGGCAAGCTCGTTGCACAACTCTCTTAGCACTCTAGGATGCACCATGTCAGGGCCGGGACTCTTATGGACCTTTAGCTTTGACAGTATATTTCTAATACCCTCTTCTGTGAACACAATGTGGGTCAGTGCTGTGTCGAACCATCTGTCCTCAAACGCAGGAAGGTTAATTGCATCCTTTCTTGTGAACACCGAGGAAAAGAAGCTGTTCAATGCCTCAGCTTTATCCTGGTCAGAATCTGCTTAACTACCATCTTCAAACCTCAGGTCTGATACTCCTACTCGCATTTTTAATTTCAACTGTAATTTCTGTTCATCATCATTGAAAATTTTGATTTACAACTCGTGAATTGCCAAATACAATAATGTATAGTACATAGTTTTAATAATGTACTGTACCTTACTGTAGTTTGTTTAACCTTACCTCTCTGGGTCAAAGGTGTCCGGGTCTGTCCACTGTTCAGGGTCACGGTGGAGCTGCCAGATGGGTATTAAGACGTTCATGTCCTTTGAAACCAATGTGTTGCCCAACTGTCAAAACAAGAGCATCCTTACAATTAACATATGGCAAATGTGTGTGGCCATTTTGTTAGTTCTTGCTACAGTACTGTATAATACAGTACTATACAGTATATACTTTTCATAAAGAAAACCTGGAAAATCTGCATACATTAGCATCATAATGCATTTAAATACACTAGTTTTGTGGAACTAATTATTGGCACTCATGATATGAATCTGGTCACACACAAAAGTCGAAGAATAATACATTATGCAAAGATATGTGGGATGAAAATGACGCTATTGTGTGTTGAATTTGCAAGTACTGTACAGCAGCTTGTATTAAAGAATTAAGGTAATGTACAGGTATCCCTCGCTACAGTGGTCCCTCGGTTAACGAGCACCTCGGTTAACGAGATTTCGGTTAACGAGTTACCTTCCATAAGATTCTTAACTTCGGTTAACGATCAGTCCCTCGATTAACGGGTTTCTTACTAGCCAACCTGAACATGATTTCGCTTGCATTTGGCGGTCCACCAGCTGTAGTATTAGTCCGCCTATACAGTAATCAGTTCTAGGGTTTAAATTCCTTACCATTTTAGCAAATATCAAGAAGTTTATACTATTCAATAATTTTAAAAGTTTAATATTAATTTTTGTACTCATTTTAACAACTATTGAACATAATTGAAGGTAATGAAACTAGGTTTTTCCAATGCATTTTGATGAGTTTCGAAAAAAAATTGAGATTCATTTCCACCGGATATTAGGTGTTTTTTAGATGCCCCTCCCCCCCACAAACAATCATAACGGAAAAAGTTGGATTTTACTTTACTTTTACTTACTTTTATCCTCTTCACCACTGATCGGCTCGTTAGCCGCTTGGGCGATCGGTCACGTCTGTTACGCACTGTTGGCAAGTACTGGGCATGCACCGGCTCCTGAATGTACCTGAACCTGCTCCAGTGTTGGTCACATCACTTTCTGGTAGATTGTTCTAAGAGTTCACAACTCTCACTCCGAAAAAGTTTGCCCTAACCTAACCCTGGACCCCCGTCGGAGGCCTGGAGGATGCGTGAGCAGGGGGTCAGACCATTTCCGCCGTAAGTAAACAAATCATGGCGACACTTGTGACCGAGTGAAAGTAATAAAGTTAAAAATTTAATGTTTCGGCTATCCTTCATTTCCGGTGGAAATATCATAGAAGAGAAATGTCTTATAATTATGTGTGTGTAACTGCACACAGAGAATAGACCACCCAGTTGGCTGGCTAGTAAATTGAAAAGTCGTGAGAACAAAAAAATATACAGTATACTGAATGTACCTAGAGGTACTCACCATAAAGTCTTCTGCACTCTCTCTGACTGTAAAGGTAACGACAGGTGGGTAGAGCCTGAGCGATTCACTGAGTACTTGATCCAAGTACTTGAGTTGCCTCACCTCTTCATATGTCAGAGGACCACCATCTTCCTTCTGAAGATATAAATAGTATTAGTGATGTCTTAATTTCAAGTTCAGAATGTTTGGTCCCAGATATTTTGGTATGGAATTTCCCCATGTTAATTACAATATAGTGTACAACTTAAACTTATTAATTCATCTTGTGATTCCTGACTCTTCACTAATTTCTCAAAACTCAAACCCATTTATTACTCATACAAACAAATTTAGTCTATCAATTACAGTGTTTTATCAAAGAGTGGGAGGAGGAAAGAATGATTGTTATGCCAATACGAGACCACATGGGGTTGTGTCATTGTTTAGTGTTATCAGTGAGGTTTGCCGTGGACATTCCCTCTCAACCAAACAATTCTATTTATCATTTCGTCCATTCAAACATTGCTACTGCAACATCAAATGGTCTATCCCTTCGTCTGATGAAAATGGCCCACCTGGGCACAGGTCACCAACCCACATCGTACAGTAGGCCTATTTGGGAAAAATGCGCTTATGTAAATAAACACCTTTTCCCCTAAGTTAACACGGTTGCTCAATAATGAAATTCCATTTGATAGCTAGAAACTCGTGAATGTGAATGAGTGTTCTATATCGGATAATTAACTATGTGGTAAGGATCGAACCTGCGTCAATGCCGTCACAGCGCAGATTATTATTCCAACTTTCAAGTCACCAAATAAGTACCTTTACTGTACGCCAAAGGTTACTATAGTGATAAAAACTTCGCTGCGCTGGTAAAAGACAAGTTGATTACCAAATTAACCTGCTGGCATGGAACTCACCAAGAGAGCAACAAACTGTTATCACTAAGCACTCGATTCAATGCTGTTAAGATAAAAATATAAGAAGTAAAGCAGAGTGGAGCCTTTAGCGTCTTGTTGAGTCCACGAGACCTGTCGGTTTCATCCAATTGGGTGATCGTCTATTTTATGCTTTTTTTTTTATAATTTTTACATGATCAGGTTAAGTTAAGTTAAGTTAAGTTAGGTCAGGTCAGGTCAGGTTAGGTCAGGTCAGGTCAGGTAAAGTTAGGTTACGTTACGTTGAATAGCATAAACATATGATCGTCTAAGAGAGAATCTTCCTGTCCTTGAGTTTTTTCTTAACTTAGTTCGTGGTTCACTTGTTTTCGAGAATAATTTTCATACTCGGTATACATGTTATTTTTTTAAATTGCCTGCGTTTTGATTTTTTTATCAAGACACCAGTAAATATTCTGTACTCTCAATCCGAACAATTTACTTGAGTATACAAACTATTTTTTCCCTCTACATTATGCCATGAAGTCCCAAAATACTGTATAATGGTTTCAACTCAGACTAAAGCAGGAACTGACGGACATGATTTTCGGGTTTCCTTCTGCTGCATATTTTCATTCCAAGGTCTTACTAAAACAATTACTTATAAAAGAAGCTTTTATAAAATCAATCACTTTCAGAAATATTAAGATTTAGGTTGTAATTTTTATATTTTTTCCTCGGGACGGTATTAACATCATTATCTTGCAATGTCACGTTGGATGTAATGTGCTGCGTTAGCAACAAGTAGGTGACGAAGCACAAGTCTTAACTTGGTAAATACTTCAACTGATTAAGCGCTGTAAAAAGTACCGTCTAAAGGATAAGTACTGTAGTTTGCTGTTGACAGTCCCAGATAAGCGACCACTAGGCCTACAGCCACGTTATTATATGCATGCACTTATATACTAAAAAAATATATAGATATTTATTAAACATTTCAGCATTTAACAATTCTCGATTAAAGTAAGAAGGCCCAAGTGTATGGCCCCTCCCAGTCATCTCGAGGTGTTAACAGAATTGCCTACTATTATGGGCTAATAAGCCCGATGCAGACGTTTTCCTTCATTCTTATGTTCTTATGTAGAGAGGATATGTCTAAATATAAACTTCTTTGTCATGCCTTGGCATAGAAAGGTTACAATGTTGGCACAGTACTTTAAGTTTTATCATATGATGAACAATCTAACATTTATTTTCATTCTTAATCTATAAATCTTCAACTTTGTGAATAATTTTCTCTTTTTTTTTTGTAAACTTCAGTACCAAACTCATGTTAGAATGAAATTAGTGGAGTTACAGTTGAAAATATTGACTGCAGCACGACGTTCCTTGGTTACGAAATTAGCCAAAGTCGTTGTTCACTACTGCACACCTGATGCTTATGTATTAAGCAACAAACCACTTACAGTGGTAGAGCTCACTACGTGGATTGTAAACACGTGTTCCACAAAGAATTAATTTCCGCATTGTGACGTAATTGGAAAATCCACATACTTACCAATGTTGAAGTTATGATGAATTACTGTACTTCAATAGCTGTGGTTTATAATCAAATTAACACTTGAAAATAATGAGATATTTCTTCACGTTAACGTTGACATTACAATGTTATTACTGCATGTCAACAACTTTAAGCGTGAATACTTCATTAGTAATTACACTTGCTTGCAAATATATATATATATATATATATATATATATATATATATATATATATATATATATATATATATATATTTGGTAGGCTCAAAGAACGAAAAACGACTACAACTCGTTGTGGTTGTCTGGAAAATAACCAGATGGCAAAATTTCGCTATAAGTTAGGTTAAAATAGATTTATTCAGGTTAGCTTGGGTTGGGTTAGATTTAGTTTGGTTAGATTATATTAGGTTAGGTCAGGTTAGATTTGCTTTGATTAGGTTATGTTAGGTTACATTACAGCAGGTTTGGGTAAAACTCAAGACGCAAAATTTCTCTTTTATTTTAAAACGTCCACAATGCGTTGTGGTTGTTTTTCGGCTTTTGAGCCTATCATAATAATGATGTGGAGGCCGAGTGGATACGGCATTTCCCTCCTGTCCTAAGGGTTGCTGGTTAGCGCCCGGGCGCCAAAGGCAACCATGATTTGAATGAGTACCTCACCATACTGTTGGGAAGGTGAAGGTGGTCAAGTGCAATGTCAGCCACATTTTCTCCTTGTGTACCAAGGCTTACTATTCAGTGTGCTGTACCCGCACTGGTCCTAACGGGCTGCCAGACATAATGAGACCCAGTGTTTTCCCATAATGCATAATCCTGTTCAGTATATCTGAATGATGAAGTACTAGAAAATCTTAACATAACACTAAGACTACTTAGTGGAGGAGAGGGACCAAGGCTCGCCTTTCGTCGTCTCAGTTTTTTAATCAAGAACTTTACGCTCACCTACCTAAACATGAAGTACAGTCACCCAAACAGAGTCCTGTCGCGAACCACGATTCAGACTCGTGAACCCGAAGCAGTAGACACTGATACACTATTCTGTCCATAAATGCTTCGGATTCAAGACTCTGAATCTCGGGGTTCATGGTTCGCGACAGGACTTTTTTGGGTGACTACATGTGGGTCATCCACTTACCTGGGATACAGTGCACAGTTCCTGATAGAGTCGCTCCTGCACCTGTGGGTGAGTTGCCAGAAGGTAGGTGGCGTACGTGAGAGCATTAGCTGTCGTCTCAAAGCCGCCCAGCATGAAAACCCAAGCATTGGCAATAATCTCTTTGTCAGTAAGTAGGATGTGTCGCGGTCTTTCCTTGTCTGTTGCAGTGGTGGTCACATCGGTGGCTGCACTGTCGCCTGGGTTGTTTTGACGAGACTCGGCAGTCTCCAGCATTAGTTGCAACACGTCCACGTATTTGTTGCTTAAGTCCTTGCGACGGATGGCGATGACAGTCTTGAGGTGGTTGACAATCATTTGTGTCATCCTCCCAGAAAGAGAAAACTTGTTACTTACGAAGCTTAAAAACGTAGCAAATCCTGGGAAATACAGAGCAAGGAGGACAGCCGGGTTAAGGGCGTTCTTCAAGAATTCTTTGACTGCTACGAAGAACTCATCTTTGTTTTGTTTAAGTTGGCAGTTGGTTTTCATGGCCAGAGCACACTCGCTGATCACGTCCAGTGTCATCCCCTGGTAGGTGGTGAACCACTCCACCGACTCCTTCCTTGCGTTCTTCTCTGTGACAATGGCCAACAGTTGATCGATTTTATGATTCATGATGCCAGCCATAAGCTTCATCTTCATCATGGAGAACGTAGGAGCGAGGACGGAGCGAACATCCTTCCATCGTTGGTCCCGAAGCCCTACAACTGTGTCAACGACGGGCTGGACATCCAACACCAACTTGGGGCGATTAGTAAAGTTGTGAAAATCTTTTATGAGTACTTGTTTGACGAGGTCCATATCCGCCACAACCAGCGTGGGCTTCCAGCCGACGTAGTAGCCGAAGACTTTGCCGTACTGTTGTATCCACTGACCTATAACGTCAGTGGCAAGAGCCCCAGGCGCTCGCAGGATGTGATTGCTGCCGTAGATGAGATGCGGAGGCACATGTGGGATGCCAAGCCGTGAGAAAATAGAGTGCTGATGGCGGCGGTGCTGAACCCATGAGGCTATGTACAGAAAGAGAACGGTGGCCAGCAGAATCCAGGTGTAGCTCGCCACCCTCCCTACCAACCACGACAGTACCCCCATAACACTCATTGTTCAATTATTTCCTATTAATGTTCAGTACACTGTTTATAATGTTGCCTCAAAAGTCATCTCATGGTCTATATAGCTTCTGATACAATGATATTTAGCCAGTCCGTTGCACAAAATCAATTTTACTTCATTCTGTTTGAAATAGAAATATTACACTTTAGAATGGGATTATGTAAATAATTTAGATATCCTGATTACACACATCTTAAAATTGCAGCCGGGCAAATGACAACACACCAGTGAACTTCGAAATACGTCACACTTTACTGATCATTTTCTTGACGCTGAATCATAAAACAAATTGGGAGAGTTGGTGTAAAGAACGGTGGAACAACTTTCCCAACTTTTCATTGGTTCAATTTTGCGATTCACATATTGATCATAATCATCAAAACCTATTACTGTCTATCATACTAAACACAGTGTTACTTTCCATCATACTAAACACATGTTACTTTCCATCATACTAAACACAGTGTTACTTTCCATCATACTAAACACAGTGTTACTTTCCATCATACTAAACACATGTTACTTTCCATCATACTAAACACAGTGTTATTTTCCATCATACTAAACACATGTTACTTTCCATCATACTAAACACAGTGTTACTTTCCATCATACTAAACACAGTGTTACTTTCCATCATACTAAACACATGTTACTGTCTATCATACTAAACACAGTGTTACTTTCCATCATACTAAACACATGTTACTTTCCATCATACTAAACACATGTTACTTTCCATCATACTAAACACAGTGTTACTTTCCATCATACTAAACACAGTGTTACTTTCCATCATACTAAACACATGTTACTGTCTATCATACTAAACACAGTGTTACTTTCCATCATACTAAACACATGTTACTTTCCATCATACTAAACACAGTGTTACTTTCTATCATACTAAACACGTTACTTTCTATCATACTAAACACAAGTTATTTTCTATCACACTAAACACAGCGACACAACAGGCTGGAGATGAGTGTTGGGAGGGAGTAAGGCGGGTCTTGACTTAACGCGTGACAGCATTTAATAATATCAAAAGACAAACTTTATCTCGATAACACAATATAATGCTTTTACCTATATCCTCTTCGCCACTGATTGACTCGTTAGCCGATTGGGAGGTCGGTCACGTCTGTTACGCAATGTTGGCAAGTACTGGGCATATACTGACTCCTGAAAGTATCTGTATCAGCGCCAGTGTTGGTCAAATCTGGTTTTGAAAGAGCCCGCACTCGGTACCACACTGCCGTCACAACACTCACTGTCAGATTGTTCCTAGAGTTTACAATTCTCACTGAAAAATTTGCACTCACAATTTTCTGGACGTCTGGCTTCTTAGGATGAATTAATTGTATAATCCAACGCTGTTTGTGTTTGAGGTCGGCGGTAACCCAATGGTAAACACGAACAGTCAATGCCCAGAACACTCCGCAGTCAGCGGAAACAACAGGCAACTATTATGGGTGGCTCTACTGCCCCTACGGGATACCACCTCCATTGGTCACTCCTTACTGTGAGTGCGAGCGTTTGTACCCACTATCGCACATCACCAACCGAGATCTACCCTACAAACATACACTTACTGTTGATACACTCAATTTTACATATAAACATATAATTTTTTAACAAGTTCCATTTTTATATTTTTAAATGTGGTATCGTGTTAAGTACATTAAATACTCTAGACTTATGCTGTTTAATTGAGGGAAATTCACTAGTTGGTTCCTGTACAGACCCAGAGCAGGTGCCATATACTATTTTTCTAGGTCAGCATTAATTATTATTCAAGGCTTTACTTTTCTCAACCTGATATTTTAAACAGTTTAGGTTTCTTTTGAACAACAAAATTAGGGACTAATAAGCACTTCTTATTATAAATAGTCCATTTTATCTGGAATAAATGAATATATGAAAGCAGCAAATAACCAGTTTTCAGTCTGTGATATTAGCATTCAGTTTTGTCTCTCTAATATTAGTATCCTGTAGTCGTCAAAGCTAATCAAATGACCATGAAGGTTTCCGGACCTCACCTCTATTCTTCTCGATTGTACCATGAGCCCTCTTCCAGACTCATGTTCACATTCCTGCTTACAAATGTTTGAGGACGATGCTAAATTATTCAGGGAAATTAAAAATAAAACGTCCTGTAAAACACTTTAGGACGACCTCTGTCAGCTTCAGGAGCGGTAAAAGGATGCACCTAAATCATACTTTTTCATTTTTACCTTTATCCTCTTCGCCACTCACTGATCGGCTCGTTAGTCACTTGGGCGGTTGGTCACGTCTTTGTTACGCATGGTTGGGAAATACTGGCTCCAGGATGCATTTGTACCTGAGCCAAAGTTGGTCAAGTCTTGTCTTGAAAGAGCTCACACACGGTGCTGTCACATAACTCCCTGGCAGATTATTCATAAAGTTTACAATTCTCACTCCAGAAAAGTTTGCCCTCACAATTTTATGGACTTGTGGCTGTGACCGCTAGTGTGGTGGGCATCCGCCAGCTCCAGGTATTAACATTCGACTGAGTAGTCCTCTCTGAGATGTTTATAAACTCGCCTATAGGATAAGCTAGGCAGTTGCCGGCGTTCTAATCTCTGGGTAACTGAGGTGCCGGTGCGCAGGCATCTGTCTGGTGGTCCTCTTTCGGACAAGGATAAGGAGGCGTATCCCATGTCCCAAAGTATAGTACGTGACGAGGAAACATTAACCGAGACCAAATGTGAAAAGGACCTGGCTGTGTATATTGATAACGAAGTAAGTTCTCGGACCATTGTGAGATGGTAAATCAAGCAACTAAGCTTATAAGAACATTCACATACCTGTATGGTCCACGTTTTGAGCACTGTCTGGTCCCCGAGATATGTAAGACACTGTCAGTTGATTAAAAGTGTCTAAAATAGGGCCATCAGACTAGTGCCAGCATTACAGCTACCCAGAGAGATTACGCCTGCTGTTACCTATCGTCTGTTCACTTGAACTTTCCATTTAAGGCCAAGGTCTCATTTACAAAGTTCAAGTGAACAGACTATACCTTATACTATGGGAGGGCAACGGGTAACTAATAGAAGTTTATATAATAAACAACTGAGAGGGCATTACTCAGTCGAGTGTTCTTACCTGGAGCTGGCGAATGCCCGCCCCATTAAGGATCACAGCTTAAGTCTGAAGAAGCTACAAGTTCACAAAATTGCCAGACCAAACTTTTTTGGGAATGAGGGTTGCGTACTTTTGGAACAATCTGCCTGAAAGTGTTGTGACGGCACCGTGTGTGAGCGTATTTAGGACCAGACTAAACCAACCATGTCGCAGGTATAAAGTACTTGCCAACAATGTGTAACAAAGACGTGACCGACCGCCCAAGCGGCTAACAATTTTCAAACCGATCAATAGCGAAGAGGATAAAGTAAAAGACATCCTTCTAACCTGCTGTAAATTTCATGGGTGGGTTAATAAACGATAGAAGACTGTGCACTCTTGTCATATTTCATTAGACAAATAAATCTCATCAAATAAAATGGATATAGTGTATATATATATATATATATATATATATATATATATATATATATATATATATATATATATATATATATATGATAACCACAAGGAAAGAAGAAAACACGAAGTTCCCAAGCGCTTTCGTGTAATTCACATCTTCAGGGGTTGCATTTATAAAGTTCCTTGCAAGGAATGTAATATGTTTTACTTAGGCCAGACAGGTAAAGATCTTGCCACTAGAATTAAACAACACAAATACAGTGTTAGGACAGGCCAGGAATCCAATGCTCTGTTTGTTCATTTGAGGGATAACAAGCATTGCATTGACTGGGATAATGCCTCCTCAATATTACCATGTAATTCAATTGATAGTAGGAACATCATAGAATCTAGTCTTATTAAACATACCGAAGCATTCAACATGAATTTGAGTAACGGCATGTACAAGCTGGACAATTTTGTAATTAAGAAGATTTGTGATCAGGTGAGAAGGCCGGGTCACTTGACCATCTGACCTGACCACCAACCGTTGTGTGCTATTTAAAGATTAGTAGGGTCATTACCTAATACCTGACCATTGTCCGCCGCTCGTTTGTTGGTTTGCGACCCCCACTAGGGGAGGGGGGGGAGGGTAGACGGAGGTGAGAACGTGAATGCTGCCTGGACACACATTAAACACTACCCGGCTATCAACAGCTGCACTTCCTCCACTGTTCGTTCAAATTCTGGTTGTGATCTCATCATAGGTCCTGGACTCATGGGCTGTTTCCCCAAGACCTTCACAAATCGACTGTCATTCTCCGGACACCTATCTCAACCACTACCGTGGCTGCCACGTCATCGCCAGTTCCTCCACACTCTGTGCACCTGGCCATTTCTCCTATGTAGCAAGACATCGCCCGCACTCGTATAAGTGAGGAAACTGACTTGGACCCCCCCCCCCCTCCCGGGCGGATCACTGCTTTCCAAATCCTACTCGAGCGCCGTCGCCGTAGGAAATTTCTATTAATTGTTTGACTCCATTAATTGTTGACTTTTGTAATTTCATGTGTGTGTGAGTGGTGTCAGTTTTTTGTTATTTTCATAGTAAAGAGATTTCCATCTCGAACGGTTGTTTATCTCTCGGAAAACCAGGGTTCTTGACTATCCTTTTATAAGATCCTGATTAGAACATAAGAAAATAAGGAGTCTGCAATAGGCCGGTTGGCCTGTGCATGGCAGCTCCTGTCGAGAGTTACTACCACTCTCTATCATCCATGAATCTATCTAGCCTCCGTTTGAAACTTTCCAGCGTTCCAGCACTTACTACATAGTTGCTAAGCTTGTTCCACTCGTCCACCACCCTATTTGTGAACCAGTTCCTTCTATCTCCCTCCTAAACCTAAACTTACCCAAATTAAATCCGTTGCTTCGAGTCCTATCCTGCTCGGATATTATAAGAAGTTTATCTATATCCCCTTTATTAATTCCTTTCACCCACTTAAATACTTCTATCATATCTCCCTGCACTCTTCGTCTTTCTAGGGAATGCAAGTTTTGTTTCTTTTACCTATCCTGATATGGAAGGTTTCTAAGTCCCGGAATCATTTTCGTCATTCTTCGCTGCACCGACTCCAGTGAATTGATATCCATTTTATAATAAGGGCACCAGAACTGAACCGCATAATCGAGGTGCGGCCTGACTAGCGCAAGATATAGTTGCAATAAGACCTCTGCACTCTTATTACTTACACTTCTAGATACAAAACCCAATACTCTGTTTGCATTATTTCGAACATTAACGCACTGTTTTCTAGGCCGTAGGTCCGGGCTTAAAAGTACCCCTAGGTCTCTTTCACAAGTCGACTTCTCTAGGTTGATGTTGTTAAGGCTGTATACATTGACAGTATTTGTTCTTCCAATATTAAGTACGCTGCACTTGCTGGTGTTGAATTTCATTTGCCATTTTTCAGACCACCCCTGCAGTTTATTTAGATCTTCCTGTAAAGCATTTGCATCCTGCCTTGAATTAATCTCCCGCCCTATTTTGGTGTCATCCGCAAACTTGCTTATGTCACTGCTGATCCCAGTATCTAGATCGTTTATGTAGATTATGAACTAGAGTGAGCCTAGTACTGACCCCTGGGGAACCCCACAGGTTACACGGCCCCACGCAGATTTCACACCATCTACGCTGACCCTCTGCGTTCTATGGGTGAGCCATGATGTAGCATTTGTTTTTCTTGTCCTGCATTTAAGGCATTTCAGCAATTTTCAACCATAATCTTGATGTGCATGGGCACATCAAGTCACACGCACAGTGGGGGGAAGAAGATATTCAGCCTTAAGCAAAGGTGTTTTTTTGAAACGATTTCTTTACCATGTATGTTGTATATTATCCTACATTAAAAACAAAATACATTACAGTACACCGATACTGATGTATATATTGATATATTAATGTTATGCAAAATTGTCACGGCTGCTTCAAGGTTACATAGCGCCAAAGTGTGCCGGGGAGGGTGGGAGAGGCAGGATATCTTCTGGAGCGTCGTCTTTTTTTGATGTTCAGATATGGCAACCCTAGTCTCACCCTCACCCGGCTTTCACTCAATATCACACTAAAGTCTCCTTTGTTTAAACTGGAAAAGTAGGTACCATAGGCCTGACAGCCCAGTGTAACTTGGGTTACAAGGTAAGAGAACAACCGGCAACTTATTTACTTATATCAGCACTTGTATCGCCATGATTTAAGCATACTAAAGCAATATTATTTAACTATATTAAAAAAATAACTTTCTTTTTCACTGCACCTACATATTAAGGGACAAAAATTACACATACAATACGGACGATGGGTGTGGGGTGTCAGCTCCAGCTTGTGAACGAGGAATGGTGAAAACAAGGTCCTGTACAGTAGATTATAAGGATATTGAACTCCCTTATATTTTCTTTGTCACCCACTCTCCCCACAAGTGGCGTCATCTACAGTATTCAACAAGCAAGAAATCACAGGGTACAGTCTTTAGAGTACTGTACTTGAGAACTTTTTTAAATGATAACTCCAGTATTTTGTATTTTTTTTTACGGGGATTAGCCCACCTGGGCACAGGTCACTGACCCACATCTGGGCCTGGGGGGTGAAAATGTAATAATTATTCATAGCAAATAAAATTTATAATGAAAATAAAATAAAATAATAATGATAACTAATAATATAGAACTATAAAGAAATACAAAAATGAAAAAAAATCAATATGAGAAACGCTATATGTATGTTGTGTTGTCAAGTAAGAGAAACAATCGAGACCTGCAATTGTGTGTAAATGAGGCAGAAAGACAGATTAGCAACTGGGACTTGGTCACAATTTTTGTGATGCCATATAGCAGCAGGGTCTACCATTGGGCAACTAATGCTTCCAATATCTTCCCAGGTGGTAGTACCTCCCTGTTTGGTAGCTGCCTACTACCTTGCAGCGACCTTGTAAGTGGGTTAAGAGTTCAGCGACTCTAGCTTCAATAAATCATTTGAAGCTTTCAACATGAATACTTATTGTATGTTGCATTTTTTTTTAAGTACTCAAATGGAATCTTACACATGCAAATAATAAGACATCTATGCTGAAGATTGCTCTTTATCAATGCCTTTCATGGATAAAATAATGCTGTGAAGCATTTTGTAGAGCTAGAGGCATTCTACATGGACTCGGGGCGAGAGGTGCTTCAAAATGGACTCGGGGCGAGAGGTGCTTCAACATGGAATCAGGACTTGTGGCATTTCTACATACTCTTGAAGATTGTTACAAGGGACGGACCATCTAAATATTTGAATGACCTTACTAGATCTACTAGTTTAGTTGCTCAATTCATCTTCCCACATGACCAGAGAACTTCAGTTCATTGTCAACGTAACCCATGACTTTTTCACATATGGTCCAAATTAATGCAGTTCTCTTCAATAAACCTACCAAAAATTTTCATTTCCTCCATTCTTACATATTTGAAAACGCCTTTCTTGTACCAGACCGGACAATTAATTCTTACCCTCATATCCAATGGTGCAGTTGCAGAAATGTGTTCCTTCACCCTTGTCTCCAATCGGACAACCTTATGACCTATTGCAAATCTATCCACCAATCACGTATGTTGTTACACTACCAATATCCACTCATTCATAATTAGTGATACTACAACTGCAATGTTGCCGTTTGGAGACACGGGTTACCACAGGGGGTGGAGGAACACATTTCCACAACTGTACCATTAAACAAAAAGGAAATCGGTAAAAAACAAAACAAAAAACATTATAATTATCATTACATGTTTTTATTTGGAACTAAATGTAGACCAATACACAGCGCAGCCTGTAGCTCTTCTTCCAGTGGCCAATTCCGTACAATGACGAAAGCTGGAGTGAATCAACACCACAAGTACTTCATAATATACAGCAATCTTAATCAAAACTAGAGGAATGTTGTGATCCTTGACCACGTGCCATTGCAAATAATATTTTGCAATTTTGGCAGAGCTCTCCTTATACGTACTAGGAATTGCAATGCCAATTTTTATGACATAAGATTAACTAATACATCATAATAAATACAGTAGGCTGATCTACAACCTAAAAATGCCCATCAACTGATGCATTACTCTATGATTTGAGAAACTTTCCGGTGCCATTATCCAAAACCTGATAAAATTTAATTATGAGTTTAAATATGAAATGACTATATTGCCGTATGATTATATATATATATATATATATATATATATATATATATATATATATATATATATATATATATATATATAAATCACTATATATATATATATATATATATATTATCTTCAGGGTATCATATATATAACTATATAATATATATATATATATATATATATATATATATATATATATATATATATATATATATATATATATATATATGACAAATACAATCTGACTCACATTTCAAGTAATTGGACTTTAGCTGATGTTTCAATCTACATAAAAGGTATACAAGTGAAGAACTGACATCGAGTTCAATGACATAGCAGAACATCATTGTTGTACCGATTACTTTGGCATACAAAAAAATAATTCTCCGGTTACTATGGTTTAACAAAATTCCCCTCAATACACTCTGGTTACACTAACAGAGCATCCCCTATAGGGCACCAGAATACTACACTTGTGTATTGGTCTGTCCAAAATACAAACAAAATTTTTGAGAGTAGATATGGGAGTACAGGAAGCTTTCTTTAACACTTATAAATCCAATCTCAACACACTTTTCCAGTATATTGTGGTGTATCTCTAATACAGCAATTCATCATTTAATCACTAAATGAAAAATGAGGTGAAAAAAAATAATCCTCAAACAAGAAAAGTACAACTCAACTTCACATGATCTTACAACTGTACAGTACAGTAGTCAGGACACCACCTTTCAGAAGATGCTTCACTCTGCCTGACACTAACCAGGGGATGCATCACTTGTGGCTCCCCAACCTTAAAAGTACCTTAATTATACCAGAAGGATAATTTCATTGCTGATTTTATTTTGCTTTTCAGAGCATAAAAAATAAATAAATAAATAAAAAATGCACACAATTGTGGCAAGCAGGTGTGGTCTACCACACCACTCTCCCATCTTCTCTGTAAGACACACCTCCAGCACCGTTCTGTCTAAGTAAACAGTAAAGTCTGTGAGTCCATTTCTCAATATATATATATATATATAATTCACCTTCCCTTAAGAACCACAGCAGTATTTTCACATGGGAAGATATATCAATGATAAATGTTCTTTTCACAAGGAAAAAAGTTGATATAACATCCAGCATCAATATCTGGATGCGTTAGATTACACCTTATCAGCCATTGTGCATTTCCTTTAATTATAGAGTTCGCTACATGTCTACACAGAACACATATAATGGCAAAATAATGAGGTATTGTTGCATGACAAAGGGGACATTCTGAAAATTAAGTTCTCCAGTTCACAAAGCAACAGTAAAAGCTAAACTCATTTGGCCAAGTTACATCACTGAGCAACTTAAACAAAATACATGAAAGTGAAGAAATTCTCAGCAACTCCATCTCTCACTTCACTCACATTCATTGCTAACTCACAGCCAGAGAAGATTCAGTGATGTTACATGAGGCAGCTCAAACACACAGTCCACATGGAAACAACAAATCCAGAGATGGAAATTTTCTCATTATCAACCCTAAAATCAAAATGACTTATGGTTATTCTTATGTCTAGTGATGTTCCATATGAATATGTTCCAGGTTGACTAATCCTTCAACATTTCAATTAACAATGTTTTGATACAAATAATGCCTCTGTTACACATTGACCCACTGAACATTCATCTGTCAATTTAAACATAATGAATATTCTTGTTACAATACATTCCACCTAATTTAACACACATTTTGTTAATAAATTTATCTAAAGCAAAATTATAATAAATCCAAAACACTGGGCACAGTGCTCATTGCCTTGTAATTTTTTGTAAGAGTATTTCTGACACCTCACTCATAATCTGATGGCAATTAATCCCTCATAACACACAGTGCATGGAACTTGCTCTCTCTCACATGAGGAGTAGCACTTCATCCCTCACAGAACTATAGGAATAACTTCTGATGCTTCACAGCACCAGAGGCAAGATTTCATCCTTCAAAGTACTGTAGGGATCTCTCATGACACTTGTAATTACACCAAATCGTTACAACACTTTAGGGGCCCATATGATTCCTCATAAGTGTGGGAATAAAAGGGGGTCCCTCACAATGTTATGTTGACAGAATTTGCAGGCTCAATTTACCCTGTGGGAGCAGCATAAATGTCAACAATGAACACACCATTTCCTCCCTCAAAATTGTGAGGCAGCATCTGCTCCCCCCAAACAATGAGAAAAGAGCACTGCTCCCTTACAAAACCTTGGGGAAAGAGCACTTTCTCTGAAGGCTGAAACATCAATTGGGTAACACTGCAAATAGACTAGTGGCAACTGCTAGTAGACTAGTGGCACTGTTACTATAGACAGACTGGAAGCTATCTACAAGAGGCAGCTATGTGGCAAGTTCAGATGGAGACAGTGCACTGCCACTAATGTGAATTGTGCCAAATTATACTAGGATGAATAATGTTGTCCTCAAAATACTGTCATGAGTAACCAAACAAAAAACAAATAAATAAAAACAAATGTCTGTGAATCAATGAAAAGATTCAGTTCCATCAATACCATATTGATACAGAAACAAAACACGAGTGAGCTTGACAAAGCATGGAAATATTGGAAAATGAGGTAATGAACGATGACCACAATCTTTTCCACCATGCCATAAAAATTTTTCAGAATTTCTATCTCCAGCTAATCCTCTGAATAATACATCGGTACACCTACATAAATAATTAATTAAATTTCAATTTCCTCAGTCAGGCTAAAACACAAAATGGCATGGTGCAAGAGATGTTTTAATACCCTGTTGACATTAGAGACAAGTGATCACGTAGCATATCGTTTGGTCCAGAGCCGAGCAATTCTGTCGTGTTCTTCTCGGTTCTGGAGGAACTGAGTGGCAATGCTCCCTACCAGTGGATCCGCTGAAATGACCAAATAGTAATGTCAAGTATCAATATTCTGTTGAGTTAATAAATGGTTAAATTTAATAATTCTCGCAAAAAGTTTAAGACATGTACAGCATTGATACTGCTTAAAAAATCATTTACCATAATGAGCATCGGATGTATGCCTGCGGGGACCCTGAGCCCAACATAAAATTTTCATAATACTCCCATAAGCAAATATTTATTCTGAGTACTGATACTATAATTACCCAAGAAAACATTAGAATGCCCCCCCCCCCAAGCTAAATACTGTATGGATAATTTATAACCTTAAACTTCTGAATAAGCAGTGACATAGCTTATAAAGGGGTGTATACAACCCTCAAGACTGCCAACTACATACAACAATGGAAAACTAACTAGCTAGTGAAATAATAAATATAAACCTAAAGCAGTTGTTTTTATCTTCTTTTCTATATACCATACTGTATGAAGTCAGTTGTCCCAAAAATGTTGGAGCCCCCTGTTCAGCTGCACACTCTGAACATTCTTTAATCTGGCAAGGACCATAATGCAAATCCTTGAGACTCTCAGCTGTACAGTACAAAGCCAGATAAAGAGAAAATCTTTGTAAAATTAAAAACCCATAACACATGTTTTTATAATTTACAGTACAGTACCAGCAAAATTCATTGATTTCACTCGAGTTGGGTATATACTGTACAGTATTCTGTATAACCTCTACTGTCATAGTTCTACTCCCACACATACACACCCATGCTATTCCTTTTTAACATTTTAAAGTTTCATACAGGTATCATATTTTCTTTATTTCTAAGCTACATTAGAGCATTGCAATTTTTACTCTTTTGCTCTGTATTAAAGAAAACAGATTTACTAGGGTAGACTACAATATCTGGAGATATAAGTTACGTGTTTATTGACACACTCTGACTTGAATTATACGCAGATAAAATAATTTTGTTTATTATATTACAAAAACTCACTCCATATAAACATCAGCACCACCTCTAAAACATTTATCATGGTAGCCATGATACCATAGCCCATTTTTTCCATAAGGTAATGAATTCAGTCCAGTACTTGTGAATTCACGATTCGTGACGATTCCCAAGAACGTAACCCTCGCAAATACAGGGGGATAAGATGTATATGAAGCCTTGGGTGAAATGAATATTATTTGATGAACCTTCTCATATCACTGATAATTAAAATACTGTATATATCTTTATGCCAACAGTGTTGAGAAATGTTCTAAAGTTCAAAACATTGAGACTACTGTAATTTGATAAAGGTTGGCATGATCAGATGGACTTCTTGGGGCAAAGTGAAGGAAGATGCAGTCAAGGATGAAATAGATACTGTAAGTGGCAACAATGCTTGGAATTTTTATTTTGTAAAAAGTTTATAACTGGGTTATTAATTATGGGTAAACTGAAAATATTTAGGTTGCTTTACAGCAAGTAAGTTGTTTATTAACATATGGCTAAGATAGATAAACATCTGATACAAACTAAGGATAGTCTGGCCAAAGTATTTTGTTGTGATGGGTGATGAAATGACTGAAGAGTAAAGGACTGATTGATTGATTATAGTACAGAGTAACAGGGGTATAAATATTGGGAAAATGAACAAGGCAAGCTTGAGATACGAGATATAACATTCCTGAATGCTTTGGAACTCTGAAATCTTGTGTATGCAGATATACAGTAATCTATCTATAAGAACTTTTTTTTCTGAATGGGCATATACTAATTTAAGTATACTTATACGTGACGGCCAGCAGACATGAGAAATTTTAGAACCACGATTCAGAGCGTAAAATGAAAAAAATAAGCAAAATGAGATTGTCATAAACCAGACATGTGGTCCCTGGAGAGTGAGGGCCCTTTGTTATAAAAGTGTGGAGAACAATGTAAAGACTGAGGTAATAAATTAGAAACAAGGATAGAGAGATGTGGTGTAAGTGATGACAAGTCCATATGTTTTTCTGAATAAAGAAAATAGCGTACAAGAAGTGGAAATTTTTTTAGGAAATTTTCATACAGGAAGCAAAAGAGACATGGACTGTGGAAGAAAAGTGACAGAATGGAACAGCTTGGCAGAATGATATATTGTATAAAAGTCTACAATACAAAGAAGCATAATGATTGTCAATTACAGCAGATATTTTTTTTAAACAAGTACAAATTAATTTCATAATCATGATAAATCTAAAACAAGGGGTACTTGCAAATACAGTAGATACCCGTGCTATTTTAGGACATGTAATTAAGATATTCATAGGGTGGATTCTCTGCTAAAAGCACATAATTACAAGCATAAAAAGGCCAAGGAACATGAAGTAAATCTAAAATAACAGGCATTATACAGTATTAAGAAAAAGTAATACATATATGGAGAACAAATCAGTGCTCTTCATGAGGGTCAGTGTAACCAAATTGTCACTGGCATTTCCTTTTCTTACCTGGGTTGCAGTCAGTCAGTAAGGAGCAGATGGAGAGAAGGACCTTTGAGATGGTGAGTGCAGGTGACCAATTGTCCTTGAGAATATCCAGGCAAATCACACCTTGAGAGTTTATATTGCAGTGATAGATTCGAGTCCGGAACAAAACCTAAAACAAAAAAAACAAAAAAAATAAAATAATTTTGGAAGTAGTATTACAATGTACTGTTACTATTAATTCTACATCTACAATCATCATCAAAGTACAATTCACTTTTGCCCAGCAGACTAGTTTAAGCTATCTGTGCGGTTAAGCGAATAATTAATTGACAATTTATTCCATCTGAGGAGATAATCATGTACAGTATAAATCTTATCCTCACTGATTTGGCTACTACATCCAAGAAGCATTTGCAATTGTATGGAGAGGATGAGGGTTGCTTGTGCAAACATACACTAGTATTAAAGTAACAAAATGAAGCAGAAAAATTTTAAGCATCAGAAGGGGAAATAGTAAAGAAAATGGAAAATACGGTACAGTATGTACTTATCAGTAAATATTCTGATGAATAGCCAATATTCTAATAATATAAATTAGAATAGCTGCTGAGATTTTATCCTTGGATGACATATTTGGACTAGTGAGAGCAGGAGAGAAGGAAGGGGGGCATTTCTGGATGTGCCTCAAGCATTGCTTTCACATAATATGTCCACATAATGTAGTGGACTTGACCTACGAAAAGTGATTATTGAGACAGACCTGGTCAAACAGAGAAGTAAAGAATCTTGATTCATATAATTTTACAAAAATACTGACAGGCAACTAGCCAAATAAAGGTACCCCCTTTAAGTGAGGTGTTACATATTACAACCATTCTACATTATAGGCAAGGGATCTATTAGAATACATTGCCTGTTCATTAGTGAAAGGAACTAGTCATAGTCTGGAGACAAGATTCCATCTTCAGCAATAATGACCTTGACCTAGTGACCCAAAAGCAACGAGGCATTTCCTATCCCTAAAAGTAGGGTAACTAGGTAATATTGAATTCATCAGAACCATCTTGCTTACAGCTCTGAGACCAAAACTACCAAATTAGCAACAATGTCTTTGACCATCATACCCGAGACCTTAAAATAAAGATCTTCCATCCCCTCTGGCCAAGGTATCTAACCATTACAATGTTATTGTCACAGGGACTCTTAATTTGTGATTTAGAATTCAAAACTTTCACTTTTTAGCAATAATGGCCTTGACCTAGTACCAAGTGGCCTAAATGAATAGGAGCTTTTAATGGAACACACAAAATAGTTATGGTTTAGAAACCAAAATGCAAAGAGACAGACAGACATACAGGTCACTAATATGATCTGCTCTTTGCAGATGTAGTAGTGGTAGATGGTCATGACATTACAGTACATGGAAGATGCCATGAACACATACACATTACAGTGCCTAATGCGAAACAAAAGTTGTCCTGTTAAATCAATATGGAGATAAAAAGAGACATATGAATGAGGTTGAACACCACACTTCACATGTTCAGGTAGTACATTAGTACATAATAGGTGGACCCCCCCCCCAAATGAAGATAACCCATTGCATTCTAGTTATGACCTTTGACTTGAGAGTTCTTTACTGGTACTCTGTCAAGACAGAACTTGTGAGTATGGGTGTAAACCAAACACAATGCTAATGGTTATACAGCCTTTCTTCAATAGGTGCATTTTCAGTTCTTCAAAGTGCAATTCCATACTTCACAGTATAAACTTTAAAACTCTTATTATTTCTTAAGGTTCATACTGGCTGGGCTGTACACAGAATTTTAACTAATCCCCTTTGTAGAATTCTTGCAATGCTTGAAAAGTACATCATGATATCAGCCCACGTATGCAAGTGAAACATGTGAACTACTGTATATAAACAATAACTCGTATACTGAAAAATGTAGAATTACTTGGGTGCCCCCAACTTAAATTTTTTGGGGTGCCCATATTTAAATTTTGAGTGACCCAGCCACCTATTAACACTGAGCCCTGTACAACATACCTTAGGTGGCTTAAATGGATACTCTGCCGAAAAGTGAATGTCGAGAAAGAAGACACCCCCTTCATAAACAGAGCCAGGGGGTCCCAGGATAGTGGAGACCCACTCGTATAGATTGTCCCCCTTAGGTCCAGCACTGCAGTTGGGTGGAGGGTCCAATGTTATCTCTGCTAGTTCCTTTTGTATCCTGTGAGTAAAAATTTAAATAGTGAATCTTTTATTTACATTTAAAAGTAGTAATTCTAATGCACATTTCTAGTAGGCTAACTGATTTTCCATTGTATTTAAATTTTAGTATATATGGTGCATGTGGGGGTACATGACGACCAGCGAAGATTTACAACTGGGAAGTTGTATGGGGCACAGAGGCACATATACAGGGTATTATAATATAATTCTGAGACCCAGCACTGTCTTTGTTTTGCACATGTAAATTACGTGTACTGTATATATACATCATCCACTGATCAACACAAGCAAAATTTTTTGCAAAATATTTCATGTAAATGGAAGAACAGGCTGGTAATTTTGAAAAGAAGACAGCAATTTAGCAGCCAGTCATTGAAAAACAATGACCTGAAGAAGTGTGTGAGAGGAAGGACAGGACACCAGGCAGTTAAGAGAAACAACAAAGAAAAATGGAAGAACCACCAGAACAAAATGTAGATATGAATAATATACAAGTGATTCAGATTTTAATCTCTTGGCTTGCCTGGTTCTCCTCCATCCTGTGATATAAAACCTATGATAAAGGGACCACAAGAATATTCTAAGAGGCAGTGATCTATGTAGCTCTTGGATTCTTCTTGTAAAAACAATGGATTGTTTGTTATATTAAAGTAACCAGTAAGCCATACAAGGACAAGGCACCTCCCCCAGTCCTACCCCCATCTCTAGCTGTTGCTGATATGGCAAGCAGGTTTACTAATTTGTGATGATGCATTGGAGAGCATATCAAAGCATTTCGTCTAACATTTCAAATAGTACTGACAAAAAATCTAACAATATTCTTTGGGGAGGGGGGAGGGGACTGTACATATAAAGTGCCACATAGCTAAGTGTAAAATTCAAATGTAGTAGCAAAATATAAATGCACCTATCATGACCACAACCCCCTCACACAAAAGCATTTCTAGGGCCACATACAATTCTGGAAATGGGTTCTGGTACAGTAGTATATTTTATGGATTCTGAATTACCGGTATGACATGCTATATACGTATACTACTGTTGAATACGATTAAAAAATTTCTGTAATCTAGTATTGATGATTCAAAAGTCTATCCCTAACCTAATCGCAACTACTGTATTGTATTCTGATATGACCAATCAGAGGCCTTGAGACAGCTTCAGAAATACATACTGTACACCAAAAATGATCATGAAAAACAATTAAGGATAAATTAACACCATGTCAAAACTTGCCTTTTAGCACTTGTACTGAGTGCCTTTGACATCTTGGGGTTGGATGAACGTGCCTCGCTTACAACTGAGGACCGTGAAGAATTGGACTGCCGTGTGGTGCCACTGGAACTCTGCGTGATGGGGGCAGAACCAGTTGAGGGAACTGGAGAGGTTGTTGGGGTTTGGGGACCAGTTGTAATGGGGGGAAGAGGGGGAGACACGGGGACAGAGTCAGACCCGAGGGCACCAGTGGGTGGAGCAGACATCAATCACTGCCTGAAAGAATATAAAAATACAGTAATTCATTGTAGTAGTACTACTGTACATTGAATTTAACAAATATTTCTTTCCCATAAAAAAAAAAAAAACCCAGGAAATCTAACCATCTTAAACTAGAAATCTTACTGACAATTTATTTGTATCACAACAACACTGAGTATGACAGGGGTTCCCAATCAGGGCCACTGTACTGTATTATGACATTATTGGGAGTAACAAAGAGGAAACAATGAAAAAATAAACGAGTTACAGGAACCACTTCCCAATGTGTGGATACATGGCTGAATCTTCAAACTTTGTCCAGAGCTCAAAATCTTCCTGCTCGACAATACACAGAATGAGGCAGAAATTCAAGATCCAATCTAAATTCCTTTGCCGTGCTATTCAAATATTCAGCACATGTGTTCTCCCATCTGAATGAATAGAATGGAACCTTACCAGAAGGAAATAAGAATATCATCTCTTTGGCACAAGAACTTCAAGAGGGGATGCACTGCAATTTTCCAAGGCTCGGAGAGTTCCTTAAGGGGTCCGAGATTGTTAAAGATGTAAAATGTCCAATGCATGATCACTTGGTCAATCTCTGAGAGCAGATGTCGCAATAATGGCAAATTCTATTACAAGGAGGACCTGACACCATACTACCGAGTTTCTAATCATTTCAAATGCCCATCACAAGTGTTCCAGAGGAGCAATTCAGATTGTACAGGAAATCATTGAAATAAAGGCCGAATGAGTTGTTTCTGCTGTGTTGCTGTTTGGCAACATTGCAATGCGGTTTGTAGTTTCTTATACAAGTATTAAAATATGACTTAAATAGTGAGGTTTTTTTTCTCTTTCCCAGATAAAAAATAAATTTGTGGCATGCTTCTGACTGAACAAAAGTCCGTGATAATGAAGACTCAAACCTTTTTCAGATCAGGGTACCGTTGAAAGCTGATTGGGAACCACTGGAGTATGGTGTTGTAATGATGCAAATGCTGTATGTACAGTACATTCAAATAACAATATTCGAAGAAAAAATCACCAAAACCACAAGCTCAGTACATGTATTACCTTAGGTGTGTAATATCTTCACACTTACCTCACTAGTTAACAAAGTAAGGGTCACAGATACTACACAACCTATTCCCTATACTGTACAAGATAACGAAATAACATTAAAGCTTAACATAAAAGTACAATAAACAATGACACTAGTCTGCAAAATACATGACTACTTCTTGCCATGTGTACTGCGCTACTTTTCTAAGATGAATGATGTGAATGGTAATAGGATTATTAAAGTATACATAGGATCGTAACCGCTTTCTCTAAAAACACAATACAGTATTGTAGTCACTATTGTTTATAGCATGCTAGGTGACTGATACAGTTGACCCAACCAATTTCCCATTCATGACCTCATTTCTATTTAGTTATTCTTCTTGTTGATAATATTGACAATTTCACCGAGTACCAGCATACCCACCATTCAAATCTGGTTCTATCCCATTTATCCCTTCTTCTGGTCCACCATTATCCACCTTCCTTAACACTATGCCCGACTTTACTGCAAAATCACTCAACATATCAAACCGGTTTCACATAATCCTTCATCTTAATCAATACACCAATGACCCTCAATTATAACATAAATCACCGTCATTCATCACCATTCATCTCAGGTTATTCATCCTTCATCTCATGCCAGCTGAGCAAGCCACAGCTCTGGGACCCTCACTGAACGCCACGTCTAAAACATCGCACTTTAACATACTACTATTAATACTACCCACTTCTAGCCTTGGCCAGCATGTGAACGGTACTATCCCTCACTGTCATACTCACATACTAGAACGATGAAACCCGAGACGTTGAAATTATGGCTGGTTTTCCATGACTGTGCCAGTATAACTCCACCACCAACGCCGCCGCTGTTCTCTGTCAGATCAGCTGATCAACGCCGGTCTGGAACTAAGTCTGTGCACACTGATTACGCTATTGCAACTCCGCAGGATATGCGCTTGGATGTTAATTAGTCTCTTATCTCGCCAAGGAAGTAGATTCTATCCGTTAAATCGTGGCAACATTAGAGAAATGAGGGTTAGAGCTTGTGTTTGGGTGAGCCTGGTGACGGGAACAGCCGCATGCGACCACACAAAGACGCTGGGCCGGGTGAGGCTCACCATCAGCCGCCCGCCAAAATATGAACATAAACACATATATTCACAAATAACGCACAAATACAATCTCTGAAGTTAATAGAAGAAACATTATATGATAGCTTTATCATTAAATGAAGTGATTATGTGGATACTATAGGATATTTAGACTATCTGAATTAATAATGGGAATGGAACAAGAATTCCAGTCTCGTAGGTGCTCCAGAGTACTGAAGCGCTGTTTAGACAATTTTAATCCTATGGAAAGCCATAGACTGGTTATAGTTATATAGAAATAATAATATATAATGAGTATAAATACAAATGGCAATGGCTTGTAAAGAGAAAACGTTGAAACCTTTTGGAAATAATTCCCTTACTTTAAATACAATTAAAGTGTGGGAAACAATCACGATAACAACGCTGAGATACTGAGCATTAGGAAATTCCACGCACTAAACCTTTCTGGGTAACAGCACCATCGTCGGCTTTAACAGACCCATGATCCCAACCACAGACTTTCAAATGCCTTTATACCTCTTCCATTTCCTTCATTGTATCTTCACGTCATTTGACTATTTTTCCCCATTTCTTCTACGCACCTTCATGTGGCGGCCCTGTTCCCTTGGAATCTCTCCTCTTTTTTTTCTTTATGACTAACCTCACCTGCTTATAAGCTCTTAAGTAAATTAAGATTATTCTTTCAGATTGTTGTTTCCCACCAGATCATACTCTCTCTCTCTCTCTCTCTCTCTCTCTCTCTCTCTCATTTTCCTCTGGTAGCCAAGATAAGAGGAGGCCAGGAATGTTGTAAAAGAAAAAAATCTGCCCATTTGGTCATGTACACTCATACGACCGTGTACAATCATACGACCAAGTACGCCCAGACAGCCATATACGCCCATATGGCCATGTGCGCCCACGTGCTGTACTTCTCGCACCCACCTATGGATCCCCTCATCACCACTCAAGAAGTCTTACTGGTTAGACACCAGATTTTGTTGGTTAATTATGTTACAAATATATATATTTTTTTACTCTAACCATTAAACTTACAGATTCGCATGGTGTTAGAAAACAGTCTAAGATACACTACTGTCTGTAAAAGGTTTTCAAATGATAGTGATGTGTACTTACTGAAAAAATGGAACTTAGTAATAAAAGATTTGTCGTTTTGTTGAAATTGGGTTTGAGCTGTATTGGTCAAAGTGGGTTCTGTAAAAAAAACAATATTAAAAAATGTATCAATAAAGTATTTCGTGACCACTATTGGCTAAGATATATTTTACACATATTGTCATAGAGATTACCAAGGCTTGACACAGCAGATGCACAATTTCCTCACCATTGAACGAAAATTTTATGAGTGCACCGAAAAATCTGATTTGAGTCGTTCGTAAAATACTTTTTCGTCAGTGTTGCCTTATTGATCTAGAGATTTTCAATAGGAGTTCCTAGCCACTGGATTACATTTACTTACTTCTTTTGCAAGGTTATGTTCTGCTGTCAATAAAACCTGATTTTTGTGTATGACTTGAGGCATTTAACTTGTACTGTTTATTTATATTTATTTATATATCTATCTATTTCCTGAATAACACCAGCACCCTTCCTTTCCCCGTCCTTCTAACACCCCTCCTCTTCCCTTCATTCCAGTACCCCCCCCCTTCCTTCCAGCACCCCTCCCTTCCTCTTCCTTCCAGCACTTCTCTCCTTCCCTTCCCTCTATCAAGCCTCCCCTCCTCTCCCCAGCACTCCTCCCCTCCTCTTCCTCCCAGCACCCCTCCACCACACACGTACAGGCACATAAATTCTCACGCATCCACACACGCAACATAACTTTAAATCGACATACCTTGGAGGTTTCTCGATAAATGAACTAAAATACCGTAGGTCCTTTCCAGAATAAGAGGTTCAAGAGTCAGGAGTCTCCAATGTTCTTACTTATTAAATTTGATCATTGAGGTCTTCTGCTCCCGGTGGGTTAACACCCCCCCCCCCCGTGTTCGTGTACTGTATTAATGTAGCGGTAAAGCCGCCACAAGGAGCATCACAACTTCCTCAGGTAGATAAGAGTAAATTATAGCTCTGTATGTTAAAGACTGTGGTTGCGCACAGCGATACTCAAATTTAGGTGAGGGTCGGCCCCTGCGGGAACGACCGCCCTGCAATTTAGACGTTTGGGAGTATTCTTGGGGCTGTTTAAATAAACATACCAAATTTCAGCTTTTTATCTTAAACACCGTGGTCGTGTACGAGAAAGAAACGTAAAAACAGATGTACTTTAGAGGGTTTTTCACCTTTGGAGGTCGGGGGCCGACCGCTGGGGTCAACTTTCAATATTCATGATACGTCCTTGCCAAATTTCAGCTCTCTATTTTGAAAAATGTAGCCATGCGTAGCGAAAATCCACACACACACACACACTGTGCATTGTATAATAAGGAAAATAATAAGAAACACCACTAAATGTTTCTTTTGGGTGTTCTTGTATTATATATGTTATGAAACCCCTTCGTAAGGTGACATAAATCACAGAATGAAGAGTTAATATTCATTCAGGTCATCAGTTCCAGTTTCAGTACTTCACCTGACGATCGCCAGGTGGGGGTGGTGACGGTCTTAAAAATTCCTAGCCACACATTACAATAACACTGATCTCTAGTTCAAGATCACTAGTACAAGGCAAACCGGGTCGTTGGTCCTCAGTGATCATTAACTGGGAGGGAAACAACGCATCAGATTATAGTCCACTCGTAGTGTAATGGTGACAATATTTTGGCGGCCAGCTCCGTATGATAACTTAATGTGACCAAATTAGATACGTTCGCACAAAACCGATTAAAGTGGATGTTGAAGGTATGAATGAACGTGTGGACGAATGGATGTCTGAGAATCTTGACCCTTGGTAAACTTGGTGTATTCAATTCTGCTGTCTATCATCCTTTACATTACTTTACTTTACAATAGTCTTCTTTAGTCTACCTTACTTTACCTACCTTTCACCTTACCTTACCTTACCTATCCTAACCTTACCTTACCTTACCTAACCTAACCTTACCTTACCTCACCTTACCTCACCTTACCTTACCTTACCTTACCTTACCTTACCTTACCTTACCTTACCTTACCTCACTTTACCTAACCTTACCTTACCTTACCTTACCTATCCTAACCTTACCTTACCTTACCTTACCTTACCTTTTCTCACAAGTTTCAGCTTCCCTCTACACAGAAACTATTAACACCAGGATCATGAGAGTAACCAGGCATATCATAACTTAAAAACTCTGACCTGTGACCTCTGACCTCTGACCCAAAGGAAGCAACCACGAGAGTTTTCCCGGGAAAATCCACGACGAAAGAAGTTTGAAGGTTAAGGAGGTACATGGCTGGGCTGAGGTGTATGTGACCCCTGACCTATACCTGGGACACCACCTCGACCAAAACACAAGTAAGTTCCCGTGAGGTTAGGTTGGGTTACAGAAGAACATAAGAATGGAGGAAACTGCAGCGGACCTATTGGCCCATACTAGGCAGTCCCGTTTACACCCAACCCCTATTGCTCATATGAGCATCCAACCTATGTTTGAAGCCATTCAGCGTATTCGAGTTAATGATGATATTTGGTAACTTGTTCCATTCATCCACTACTCTGTTTCCAAACCAGTGTTTACCTATTGCACGCCAAAATCTAAATTTGTCTAATTTAAAACCATTGTTAGGTGGCCGCCTGCTATATTGTGTCATTATTATTATTATTATTATTATTATTATTATTATTCAGTGTGGAGTAGTGTACAAGAAGTAGTATTCACTCCTCCCGGTAAAGTCTTACGACATACAGTACACGGCCCACTCCCTAAATCCTCCCGCCCACTGACTGACCCAAAACCACCCTCACGCCCTCCCTCATGCCCCTGCTTCTATCGTAAAATTCTCCCGGACAACCTCCCATCTGGACAAAATATCATCGGACAAAATCCCACCTTACAATTTCCCATAAAAAAAAAAAAAATAATAATAATAATAATAATAATAATATCGCACTGAGAAAATTAAGACGTAAGTTCAGGATTTGTTGCCGTATTAAAAGCATCAACTAATCTGTGAGAATCTAAACGTCTTGCCAACAGGATTAATTTATCTGCCTAATTGAATTAATTACTGTGATCAAATGGTAAGTAGCTAAGATGACCGTTCTCTGGAGGATAAATACTTATATAATCTTCTTAGTACTAGGAATATAGAAGGTACAAATTATCACCGACATGGAGAATGGTGGCAACTTGTTACGTCATGGGGATGGCCCAAGGTAGTGACGTCAAGCTATTATACTTGCGAGACAAAAATGGTAAGGTAGGGAGAGATTACCGGCCCGGTGTGTTTAATAGTAGAAGTCTGTCCATAACACTTGAACTCCAACAGTCTAAACGAACTTATTTGCAAAGTTCACATTCAGTAAGATTAAATTCAATTCCAAATATAAATAAACGCAAAACACTCTCTTTTTTTCTCTCTTACTTATGCTATTGTAATATCTTACATCCTGGAGTAATATCACTAAATAAATAAAATAAAATAAAAAGCTGGAAGTCCCGGTCCTCAGCAAAAAAAAAAAAAAAATCTCGTCAAATTTCCGGCGTAGCAATACAAACCGGGATCCGCCACTGTTTCCTCATATACTGTAAGTTCACATTGCAAGAACAAGTTAACCTATATTCTACAACGTTCAAATTTAATCTTACAAAAATTGGTCTATTATTCTCATCTGCTGAACTGTATATTTTCACGTACTTAACGCCTCCCCCCCCCCCAAAAAAAAACCAATGAATCAAATGTTACCAAAAGCATAATTGAGTTACAGGCTGAAAACGAAAGCATTTTATGGTATTTCTAACAAAGGAAGATGGCGGAAATAAACCTCGCTATAATAATAATAATAATAATAATAATAATAATAATAATAATAATAATAATGATAATAATAATAATAATGATAATAATAATAATAATAATAATAATAATAATAATAATAATAATAATAATGATAATAATAATAATAATGATAATAATAATAATAATAATAATAATAATAATAATATCACTGCAGCTCTTCACATATTACAATAATAGGGGGAAGGGGAAGGGGAGGAAGTGGGAGGGGGAGGATGGTGGGAGAGGGTGGGGGGACAGCACCTACTTTTCTGATATCACCAGTATGATCCTGCAAGAAAGTTCACGTGTAAATAAAAAGTAATAATAAATAAAAACTTTTCAAATGTGGTCAAACACTTTTAAACCATGCAGCCATTGTGGTAGATGGTGGGTGGCAGTATGGCAGATGGGTGGGTGGTAGTATGGTAGATGGGTGGGTGGTAGTATGGTAGATGGTGGGTGGCAGTATGGTGGGTGGCAGTATGGCAGATGATGGGCGGCAAGAGGTGGGTGTTGGGTAGCAAGAGGTAGGTGGTGGGGAGTGACTCCTTACGCTCAACACTAGACAGGTGACAATGGTTCAAAGCAGCACAGTACTAAATAAGAGAGACAGAGAATTCACCAGGGAGGACTTCATGCAGGGAATCCCAACACCCCCTCTCCCCCTCCACCTCCTCCCGTCCTCTGCAGCAGGAGGAAGAACCTGAAGGGAAGATGGCTACTACAGTTATCGCCAAGGGATCTTTTATCGTAAGTGATGTTAGTTGTATGTTTCTCAAGTGCTGGAAATATAGACGGCGGTGATACTGAACTGTCATCCAGATTTTTTTTTTTTTTTTTTGGGCACTCCCCTACATCCTTGTGTAAGGTGAAGCGCAGAAGCGTTTACAGTGCCCAACAGGGAAGCATGCTAAGTTCATGCTTGCCTTTATGTCTCATGAGTTAAGGGCTTTTCATTTGCGTGATGTGTTTATGAGTGAATAGAGAAGGTCACATCTCCTCACCTTGCGGCCAAACCATGAGCGTTTCCGAATACCAGTTGTGGCCATAGCTTGGTCTTCCCCCACCGTGTCTTTCGTACAACTTTTATATTACGAACTCTAGCAGATTCCTTTAAGGGGACACACGGAACGGTTAAAAACAATTATAAACAACAGCTTGAGAGTATTAGTTTTACTACTCCTTACTGCGGTTTCTATAAACTCACTTCAAGAGAGAAGGTTAGAGGGGTTTTCTTAAGACTTATTTTACAAGGATTCTCGACGCCACGAGACATTTGGGGGGGGGGGGTGTATTAGAGGCTGTTGTAAACAGAACAGCCCTGAATAATAAACAATTATAGCCGTCGCCAAGTAACAAGGCCCAGGCGGATTCGAACATGGTTTCTCACTCGTCCGACGCCGCCCGACTGTCGTACCTGTGCTAGTTGAGAACAGCACCTTCATCGTGCCGGTCGCCTGCCGTTCAGCTCAGCACGCGTCCACCACACTCAAATACTCGGTTAGACACACCTCTTCTCTTGGATACATTTACTGTAATATAAGTGACGTGTTCTTGTTTATCAGGACTGGAAAAGTAGCACTGTGGTACAACAGTCATCTCGCGACAAAAATATCGATATAACTATACAGGAATTCTCTTATACTACAGGTTTTTCTTGTGTTACTAAATAGTTTAATAGTGTGTCATTGTTTGATTACTAATAAGAGAAGATTTATAAAAGAGTGAAAGTACTGATGGACAGCGTGGTGTAGAGGGGGTGCGGGGTTATAGTGATTATTATCCTGGGTACACAGGATGGTGAGTGAGGTGCTACACACGCCACTAGGAACTGTGTTACTGTGTCGATGAAGGGCCAACTAGCGACGTGTTATCTCTCATTAGTGGAGAGTCTGAGGAGCACCTGGGGTATACCGGATGGACCCAGGCCCTAACCACAACACCTCAACACGAGCAACAACCGGTCTGCATGATCACTGTTACATAAGGATAAAAAAGTTGCAGGAATCCTGTATACAGTAACACTTATAAAAAATCACACTAAGCGAAACGGTGGTCATATTTACTCTTTAAGCTTCCCCACTGACGTATACCACACTGTATTAACTTACCTCAGCTTATGTAGACGATGTGTGATATAAAACTATTTCGCTGTAGAGTATTAACGCTCGAGGGAGTCAGTGAGATTGTGTTATTATATAAGACGAGACTCAAATTATCATCGGTGTTGAGCAACTAACCATTTCCTGTGTGTGTGTGTGTGTGTGTGTGTGTGTGTGTGTGTGTGTGTGACCAGGACCTGCAGCTGCTAAAAGAAAGTCAGGTAGACAAGACCTACACCACCACACTCGGGGATTCCCTCGCGCTGTTTAGAGGTTACGTGCTTAATTATTGGTGTGGGTGATATTTTGAGGTCAGACCTTAATTCTAATAGAAGATGACGTTTTGTAGGGCCTTTACTTTAAGAAAGATAACTGTTTAGGCAAGACCTTCAACTTTAGGAGGTGGATACATTTTGACTTAAGACTGGGAAGTTTTATAAGTCATCTGAGGCTGTGTGTAAGTCAGAACCTTAACTTTATGTCTTGGTGAAATTTCAAGATCATATCCTTAACCTCAGATGTTTGAGGATATCTTTTTGGCCTTAACCTTCAAATACTGGATACAGAAAGTCGTTCTGGTCTCGGCGCAGAGCGAGCGTAAGTTTTAGAGGTCAGATCCTTGGCGTCTGCTGCTGGAGAGATCCGAAGGACGGACCCTTGCATTCTTAACACTGAGAAGCACACTGACCTCTTAAAACTGTGTCCCAGAAGTGAGAGCGACGGTATGTGGCCCGCAACACAAAAAACTCTCCGCCTTAACTGAGCTGTGATTTAAATTCTGTAAGCAAACCTAGCCACAGTTTCGTAGCACTTTGGGAGCATAATTTGTCAACTGTCACCGATAGGAAGAGATAGATACAAAGACTGCTAGATATACGGGTAATTGGGAAGAGAGAAAGGGAGAGTGCGAGAGACAACACTAGTAAAACAAGCGTCGGAACTTCTTCATGTACGCACGCATCTATCCCACCTGTCTCGTGCCAAGAAACTCTCTACCAGGGATCCCACACATCTGCGGCCCCAGATAGAATCATTACAACTGGACGACAAGAGCTTTAGTAATATAATATACCCAACACAGTGTTTACAGCTCGTCAGGACAGGTTCTCGCGTTGCGATTCTAAAATGACAACTAATCGACACGTTCGTTAAAATGTATGCGGAAGCAACAATTTTGAACACGCATTGCGATGAAGGTAATCTGACGACTGCAAGATCCAACATGAAGATGATGATAAACAAATCTAGTTACGAAGGCGTCATAAAGATCTTCCTGCACGTAACCATAATGCATAGTATACATTATAATGGCAACAATTTCAATGGCGGGAAAATAGAAGAAGCAGACTAGATTTTCAAACATTCGTGGGGTAAATTCTTTATCTTTACCAGTGTATAAGAGAACGTATCAAAGCACAAAAAAGACTCAGTATATTTCGATGTTATTTTGATTGCTACCTTTGTGTCATAGCTTAAGTAAGGCAGTTCGAAAAGCCACTACATCCTCTTTTAAAATAACCAACTGAATGTACAAACCTTTAAGAATTAGAGCTAAGGACAGTGAAATGTCTTCTCGAACGCTGGACATTCATTCAAGTGTTATACAAAACAGTCTTGACCCGGAAATAATTCACAGTCAGACAGACATATAACATACGAGAGGGAAAAACTATCGACTAAATCGGAGAACAAGAACACCAATTTGGACACATAATTGGCGTGTTCTCTATGATCAAGTCTTCCCGATAATAGTGTATTTTGCTGTGATTCTTGTTTCATGTCTCTGTTATGTACCGCCTCCATAAATGGCCCCGAGAATCCTTATGAATATCTTAATTAATGGCGAGTCAAAGAAAATGATGACATAAGACACTCCAGCGGTGACTACGTTATTTTCCAGTAACAGCTCCAATAATTCAAAGTTTACCCTGTCATGGTAACGGTTCGTGGAGAGGGTTTGTATCTACTAAAATAACGTTTAATTGAAATAATTTTATGGGCATCAATGCAAGATTAAACATTATTTACATTATTTTCCATCGTCTCTTTTTAGCCTGCGAGCAGCGGCAAGAACAGACATAGCAAAAGGTCGGGAACCTACCCACACCCACACACACACACAACTAGGATCATCTCCACCGTGGTGTGGAGGGAGCCCTGGTGATGCTGGGACGGCGAGAGTGGTGTCTCCTGGTGGTGGCAGCGGTGATGGCCTCCCCGGGGAACAGCAAGGGGGAGGCGGAAACAGGTTCACCACGCTCCAAGAGGCAACGTAAGTGTTTCTATTGTTTATGTAATACTGTACGAGGTAGCTATAGTGGGTATTGGGTTGGGTAGGTTATCAAACTCTCTCTCTCTCTCTCTCTCTCTCTCTCTCTGAGGTAAGGTAAAAATGTATACCTGCGTGAGTTGGTTGACCACACATATATAATATAACAAATAGGAACTGTGTCACCAATTACCCTCAAGTCACCTGTGTGATCATCAAACTTCAGCAGCAGCAGCAGCAGTTTCTACACATGAAGCAACAGTAGTAGTAGACACAAGGGTAACAGCAGCAGTAGAAGTAGCAGTGAGAGCAGCTACATAAAGTTTATTTACATGCAAGAGCAGAAGTAGCAACAGCAGACACAGCGGCCGCGTCACCACTAATTATAGCAGCAATGACCTCAAACACGGCATAATAATATAACGAATCTTTTAAACTTCGGAATCTGGCTCATTATGTTCACTGACTCACATGGGTCTCACTCCACCCACTACTGAACTCGTAAATTCAGCAGATGTTCCCGTAAAACAAAACAATTGTCATCGCAAAACGCCCAACGTACTCACCCAGATGCTCTATGTGGGATTACAATACTGAATGTCATCACTATAACAACAACAATAATAATAATAACAACAAAAACAACAATAACAAGTTTAAGTACAAGAATCAAAGGTGACAAAAGATGTATTCAAGGTAACAACGATAGACGGCCGTTCGCTTGCCCTCTGCCTCCCACTGGCGCTATTTCACACTCGAAGTAAATGATTCTTCAGCGACCAGCCCTCCAGATGAAACGTTCTACGTGTGTTTTGCGACGCCAGGGACAGGATTTACAGCTAGTGACGACGGGAAACGTGCTCACTTACCTATCTGCACTGGAGTGGGATATTACAACGTTCCCTCAACGCCTCGGTCGACGCTGTCACACACACTGGAGTCGCTATAACCCGATGGCTAAAGTAAAGTAAAAAAAAAATCTCACATATAAAGGAGATAGAAAGTCGTGTCACAATGCTTTACAATGCCTTCGTGAATCGACAGCTAAACTTTAAGGTCAGTAACACATACATACATACATAAATACATTCATACATACATACATACATAAATACATTCATACATACATACATACATATTTAACATTTATTCAGCTAAAATCAATATACAAGTATACATTGATTCATCGTGTATAATAGGTAATACATATCAAATTCATGTATATAAACAATGTATATAGACATACAACAATGTAGAAAATATGAATCAACTTCTCGTTATAATGTTACAAGTATTCACTGTCATTGTTAACGTTGATATTGGTCACGAACCTAACCTAACCAACAGGGCAGCGACACTCACCAGTATTGCCTCGTGTAAACAAGAGAATCTTCGTGTTTCCCATTTGGATGTATTCTCACAAAAAAGTTCCTTAACCTCCTGAGTACGATGTTTTAATCCCTTGAGTACCATGACAACGTACTCAAAAGGTAAGTCATCGTACTCAAAAGGTAAGTCATCGTACTCAAAGGGTTAAGTACATCGTACTCAAAGGGTTGAGTCATCGCACTCAAAAAGGTTATAGTCATCGTACTCAAAAGGTAAGTCATCGTACTCAAAGGGTTAAGTACATCGTATTCAAAAGGTTGAGTCATCGCACTCAAAAAGGTTATAGTCATCGTACTCAAAAGGGTTAAGTTATCGTACTCAAAGGGTTAAGTCATCGTACTCAAAAGGTTTATTGTCATCGTACTCAAAGGGTTAAGTCATCGTACTCAAAAGGGTTATAGTCATCGTACTCAAAGGGTTAAGTCATCGTACTCAAGGGTTTAAACGTATCCTGGTGTGTGTGTTTGACCTCGTGCACACCGGCTGGTCTTGGGAGTCCCCGTGTACTGTACCTCGCCCGTGTAACCAAGACTAAAAAACACCGGTAGCGGTTGGCTGATCCTCCTCTGCCTCCCGGTGTTGATTGACCCTGGGTTAATGATTTAGTACTGTACTGTTTGTGTTCATATCAAGAGGAGGAAACAGTTTGAATATTAATAATGATTCGACACACACGAAGAGAATCAAAACAAGGACCCATGAACATCTTTGTGGCGCCAGCGATTATGTATACCGAGTCATGGCAGCTTCACACAAGAGACAGCGCTAGATGACCCAATTAAGAGAGTCAATTCAATTCTTTAACAGCTACAGGTGGAGGATCTGCAATGCTCGAATCTTCACAGGTCGGCACTGGCTGATAGGACTTGTGTGGTCACTCAGGCAAGAGTAACACCTTCAGGATTGAGACAACGTAATATAATCGTTCCCACCAGCAGACGGGGAATTGCAAATACGTCACTACCTCGGGAGACTCACCTGCTGGGCGGGGAGGAGGGAGGGGGGGGGTACGGTAGTCTATAGTTAGTTTCCTACTGACGGCACGGAGGATCATGGTGGGGGGGAGGGATGAAGAAAGTGAGGGTGGGGGTGTGAGAAGGAGGATTAGTCTGGAGTGGTAGACAGAACTCTCAAAGGTATAGGCTGAGAGGGGAAGAGAGCAGAAGGGGGGTTAGGGTGTGCAAAGATCAAGAGTATTAGGTGTGGAGGAGGGCGGGATTTCTTGTGGTAGGGAGGAGTGTTTGTGTGTGTGTGTCGTGGCGTGGAAGGTGGTTGTTGCCGGCAATTACTGAGGTAGATAAGTTGTGATACGCCCCTGTACTATAAGCTGTGGAGTTGGGGGGAGGGGGGCCGCAGGGGGAAATCTAAGTACAGTATTGTGTATTACAGTAAATCAAGGTGTGTGAGTCAGGTTAATTAGTACAAACGATAACTATTGCGACGAGAATCTTTGCGATACCTAATGTAAATGTTATGTTCGTGGATTATGTCAGGAGCGGATACAGCCGGAGCTCTGAAATGTCGCATATCAATCTGTATTCAGACCTTCTGAATTTGTTTTTATTATTTTTTTATTTAGGTGGACCACGTCAAGGGTGAAGGTCATAGTTGTCTGACTCACTAATGTTCTGAGAGGACAATACATATCACTATATAATAGGGGGGTGTCCTTTGCTTGTCTATGTCTCTCTCGCTCTCTTTCTCTTTGTTGTTATGATAATTTCAACACACATACACACATACATATCTAGGGTGGCAGGAGGGGAGGAATGTTGTCCCAGCAGCACAATAACCTTGGAGATAATTGGCCACATTTAGCTGCCGTATCTAATAACATACGAACAGGTGAGGATCTTGAACAATAGGATGTTTACATGATTGTTACAACAGCGTGTGTAGTGTGAGGCAGCAGTACCCCGGACATTGTTATACCAGTGACGGATACAAAGGTGGTCTAGTTCCCCAGGGTAAAATGACCTCAAGGGTAAGTTAGAGGAGGTCAGAGTAATGTGACTCGGCATTCAGTATGCTAAGCGAAAGTTACCTGTCGATTAGTTATCATATTTTCTCCTTCGTTATTTTTTGTATTAATTAGTCACTTGGGGAGCGTATTTAATACTTATGTACCTTTATAAATATATTTACAAGATTCAGGATAAAGGCGGGATAGAATACAGTGACGTCACTAACTGGGTGATGTAAATATTAACGTCATGATACTTAAATAGATTCACAATAAAGGGAATGTTAATTTAGGAAGCCAAACGAACATTAAAAGACAGGAAATTATTATAAGCAATATAGTTTCAAGTTGTTCTGTGTATTGTTTGTTGTTTCATGGCCTCACTATTGTGTTGTTTTAATAAATTTGTTTCTTTTAATGTTCGTTTGATTTCGATAACTGACGTCGTAGTTGGGAAAGGTTTACAGCTGCTCAGTTTACACTACAGAATAGCAATAGGAGAGTAAATCGAGCTAAGGGACGGTATACTCTGTCACAGGGTCAAGTTGGGTAGGTAGTAGGCAGCTATCAAACAGGGAGGTGCAGTACATACCGCCTGGGAAGATATTGGAAGCATAATGTGTTGTCTACTGGTAGACCCTGCTGCCATATGGCATCACGAAAATTGTGACCAAGTCCCAGGTTGCTGATCTGACTTCTGCAGGGTTTCAATTGTTTCCCTTACTTTGGCAAGACAACATACTGTACAGTACATATATCGTTTCTCAATATTGATCTTTTTTGTTTCATTTTTGTATTTCTTTATTATTATCATTATTATTATTATTATAACAGGTATTAATATTATTATTATTGTTATTTAATTTTTAATTTTGTATTTTAAATTATAAAATTTATTTACTATGAACTAATTATTATTATTATTGTTATTATTATTAAATTTTCGCCCCTTAGGCCCCGATGTGGGTCAGTGACCTGTGCCCGGGTGGGCTAATCCCAGTAAAAAAAAAAGTTAAAGCGACCGGTACAGTAAACAGTCAAGCGTCTCGGCGTCATCTTCCTCGGCGTGACAGTTGTAAACTCTAGGGATTATCCACCGCGGATATTGTGACAGCACAAAGTGTGAACTCATTTAAGACCAGACTTGACCAACACTGCCACAAGTTCAGGGATTTCAGGGTACATACAGTACCTGCCCAGTTCTTGCTAACAATACGTAACAGAGAACTTGTAGTGGAAATTTCCCCTACAACTACAACTGCCATTTGTCGCTGACTAGCCGACCCCTTTTCGAATTCTCCAGCCAACGCCTCGGGGTCTGACAAAGCGCAGGTCAGCCATCAAGCCCCGCCTACCTCCGCTATATAAGCTCTCAACCTCGCTGTGACCTCCCTTCTTCTACCTGAGCACAGCAGCACGCAACACCTCCTCCGAGCAAGCTCCTCACCAACCAGCTCTCTCTACTCCACGCTCCCGAACCAGCAAGCTCCTAACCACACAGCAGCTTCCCAGCACCAAGCTGCACTGTACATCCAATACAATATATATATATATATATATATATATATATATATATATACAGAGAGCGCATTGTGAGTTTCCTTTCTCCAACCCATGCTGAGTGTGAACCAACGTCACGAAACCCCACAAA